ACTATTACGAAATAAACAACCAAACAGGATTAAATAGCCAGTTTATATGTGGTATTGTTGTTCAAATACCTCTATTTAAACTTAAAAAATACGAAACATAAGGATGTATGTCACAAAAAGAAACGTTAAAATACTTAATGAATAATCCCTTAAATTTGCAACACTCACAATTCGCATCCTCTTCAATCTTTATTAATAGTGTAACTAATTTTACATGAAAGTGATAAATCGTATTTACATTTTTTATGGGAACCGAATCAATATATACCACAACAAATAAGGATGTTAGTAATTTACGTAATAAAGTGATAAAGGAGTGATACCACGGCCTCACAGAAAACCGGCGTGAAATAACCACTGCGTTGTGTTTCGCCGTGTGAGTGAGGTTACCGGAGGCCCAATCCTTCCCCTTCCCCAATCCCTCCTCAATCCCTAAATCTCCAAATCCCTAATCCCTAAAAGGTCGGCAACGCACTCGTAACTCCTCCGTTGCGAGTGTCCATGGGCGGCGCTGATTGCTAACCATCTGGTAATCCGTCTGCTCGTTTGCCGACCTATAACATAAAAAAAAAATAAAAAACAAACATTATAACTTCGATGTTCCGTAGAAACTTCCATCCGATAAGGACATTTTGTTTTCTAACGCTTTCTAAACTCCTTATAAGATTCATAACAAATGACAAACTAAAATCTAATTAATTAATATGTAAATGGCATATCTTCGAGCCGTAAAATACCGAATGATTTAATTGGTATATTGCTTCACATTAATTCCATTGAATGTTTATGGCATTCGTTTGATTCAGTAAAGCGAAGCCCGGTAGCTGTCTTGCATATGTATATTTCGAGCGAACATTGCGATTGACGAACTGCTTCATTGAGCTCAGCTAATCAGCCATTTGTATGGATTAAGACGACTCAGCACCGCGGGAGCTCTCGTGCTACACGACCATTCTACTCAATATAGTATTTTGATGTTTACCAATATTAATATTATTTGTAGCTCATTTCATATTCATAGTCATTACATTTCTGAATATGTTTAGATCTTTATCTTTTAAACTTATTCTGACTATAGTGCATAACTTCATAAAAATGCAACTTTCTTTCGTAAGCAAAAAATCCAGCTGTATGAATGCGTTCGGTTGCCAATTTATTACCCAAAAAAAAATGTTAACAGCTGACATAAATCAGAATCGAATTACAATCGATTAGAGAAATTTAAATACCGCCCACATTCCTCAGTTCTTTATGATAATAATGTGAGATAAATTAACTTTTGGTCCATAACTAGTTGTTATTAATGTAAGAGTACATAAAGACGTTTCCGATATTTCAAAATTGTCAACATAATAATATCATTCATACCTACTACGCATACATATGAATTACATAACTTTCTAAATGAAAAATGAAGTTGTTAGATAATAGATATTTTGTGGAATTTGAAATTGTATTAATCAATGTGTAATCGATCACTTGTTGACTGTATCTTCATATTGTGTTTTATCTAAAAGATCGGTGAGCGTGAGTGGGTTCCTTGCATAAATTATAGCAAGCTTTATGTAGCACTTAACAAAAGTGGTGTGCACACGGGCGGCCGCTTTCTGCCTTTTAAATGACATAATAAAAATTTTATTCGAATCAACAAATCACGTAACGTTACTCGGCCATGTACTATGTTTTATTGTGAATAAATATAGTTAATCTTCGATACGTGGGCGTTTGACAAATACCAACACATGTTTCCCCGTAAAACTCTTATATTTTATTACTAAGCGTTCTCTCAGATTCCATGCACCTATTAAATCATTATTGTTAACGACGCGCAGACTTTTTCTCATAATTTAAAATGCTCGATGATACCCATTATTGAAAACTTTCAACTATCTGTACAAACTATTGACCATTTACATGATGAAATGGTTTATGCGATTTCTTAAACTGTAATGGAGAGTTTTTAGTCGACTTTTCCAGTTTCGATATTTATTTGTTTTCTATGAAATTATACAATACAATACATATTTGTTTATTAGTTACACTAGCTTCCGCCCGCGGCTTCGCCCGCGTCAAATTAGTTTTTGTCAATCCTGGTTCCTTATGTCTAAGAGACTCTTACAGGTGCCAGCCCAGGAATGCCATGCCATGGAATTCCACACTTCTTCTGGAATTTGAAAACGGTACCCCTCTTGCTCATTGCTAAACATTAGCGGGTATTGTAGTGCGTCATAAAACTTGTGTGTGTCGGACACCCTGATCAATGGGTTTGAAAAACAATATCGCGCGATGCGAACTGTGCACCACACACCATGGCAGCGACTTCGTTTAATAAGGGTGCATTATAACGTCTTTCATGTTCCCCGCTTGGCGTACGATCCGCGAGTATTACTAATTTGTGATTTTCCCGTTGCATTTTTTCTAAAGCTGTTTTGAAGGTGTTAATAAGGTTATTATGTTCGTGCAACATTCTTTGAATGTTTTAAACAATGTCCCTCTCATCTCCTTCAATATTTTGACATCAACGGTCAACCTCGCTGTTTTCGTCTCCCATAAAATAAATCTGTAGAAATTTTGGTTGATCATTGTTTGTGGAAAGCAAAGAACCAATCCTATGATAAACTTGCCCTTGTACCGTAAATGTGGGTGAAAATCCAGGCATGATGACAGGAAAAATCGCCGAGATTCATTGCTGTCCTTTCTTCTGTCGTTGCTTCTCGGTTGGTACTGATACTTTGCCTCCAGAACAGCACATACCTAGGGTCTCTTCCTTCCACTTGAGTGCCTCACAGTGTCTGCATTTATTGGCCATTCTACCTATGAGGACTAATCGATGATTAAAGTAATCAAGTAACAGATCATAATTAAAAGCAGCATCGGCAAATGCCTCCCACGTATTCATCGTCGTCAACGTGTTTCTTCGGAGGTCTCTGCGGCTATCTACGAAGCTTAACGCTCAGCATCTAAGATTTGGCGAGCTTGGGTGTGTTGAGAAGTCTCAGCAGCTCTTTGACCCGCGTGACGCTCGGCATCAATGATTTGGCGAGCTTGGGACTGTTGAGAGGTCTCAGCAGCTCTTTGAGCCGCGTGACGCTCGGCATCAATGGCTTGGCGAGCTTGAGTCTGTCGAGAAGTCTCATTCCAGTGATCTGGCAAGTTTAGCAGCCCGAGCTCTGCTAGAGCTTTTAGCTAAATTGGACTTTCGATTGCGAGGCATCGTAGAACAACAAAAATGAAATGAATCGAACAAAACAGATGTACAGATTAAGATTTATTATATTAAAAAACCTTTGTTCACCCTACCTGCACCTACTTGGATAAGTACTTATTTACAACCAATGCAAAAAAGTAGGATGCTAAATATTAGATTAATTGAATAAAAAAAGGAAATAAAAGCAAATCGTATTTATTTAAAGTAACGGAAACTATCTTACCTACTGGTAACGTTGTAACTATGAACTAAAAGAAATATAAGTATGTGCAAAATTTATTTACAGGATCTAATTAATAAAAAACACTTAAAAAGTTAGACGAAACAATAAAATAATTTTACTGGATCGAAAAATGTAATTCTCTAAAGCGCAAATTTCTCTTATCGCACCCGACAACGACCTCTGTCCTCACGTATCTGTCCGTTCGGGTAGACATAGTTAGATTCGTGCGCTTCCCCACCACACGACAGCGCCGCGCCGCACTTCGGCGCGACGCCGACGGCAGCGACGGCGATGCAGAGTGTTCATTAAAAGGAATTTATACTTCGAAAGTAGCTATTTTATAACTTGATACACCCAAAACCCTTCTAAATTACATGTTCCTAGGTTCAATAGTTAAGATTTCGTATACCTACATAAAGGTTGGCTTTGTAGATCCCGTTCCGAATCCGTTCCGGGTCTTATCTTCAATTCATCCCCTATTTCACTACATATCACACTGATAAAATTTTGAAAATGCTAGAACAAACGATTTTTTGTTTCTTATGACGTGATATTTGACGAAATTGAATACTAACTTTCAACCCTTATTTCACCCCCTAGCTGGTCGAAATTTCAAAAATGCTGGAACAAATATTTCATATTTTCTTATCAAGTGCTTAAATATTAAGTTTTATGGTTTTATCTTTAAAAAATAAGAAATCCCATACAAACTTTTAACCCCTATTTCAACCCCTTTATCCCTGTTTTTCGAAAAACACAAAAAAAAGTAGCCTATGTTCTGTCTCAGGGTCAAAAGATTGTCTGTACCAAATTTCATTAAAATCGGTTGCGCGATTTAAGCGGGAAAGCGTAACAGACAGACAGACAGAGTTACTTTCGCATTTATAATATTAGTTAGGATTATTGATTGAATTAAAAAAATGTGATTAATTTATATAATATATTTTTATAACATCCTCGACAGTTAGAAGAAAGAAGCTTAGGCGCTTATTCAATGCGCCTTCGCCGATCGTGACTTAAAAATGTATTTTGTTGTTTAAACCTGCGAAATTGTTACTACTCACGTCTACTTCTCTGTCTCCCTTAATATTTTATATGCAAAATCTACTGAAAAATATATCACTACGACTAGATTACCATTGAGTGGTATGATAATATGATTAGATTCAAATAACAATTAAGCTCAGTGCAGGGGCGGGCGTACTCGTGTCCAAGAGGATATGGAAAAGGTTAATTTTTTTTTAAGGCGTATATCGGCAAAGGGCCAAAGTTTACCTGATGGTAAGCAACCAGCGCCCCCCATGGACATCCGCAACATTAAAGGAGTTCCGAGTGCGTTACCGGCCTTTTCGGATATTCAAGGATTGGGAAGGGATCGGAGGAGGCGGTCCAGTAACCTCAATCACACGGCGAAACATATTTCCCCTTTAGTTATTGGTTGTTTCACGCCGGTTTTCTATGAGGCTGTGGTATCATTTCGGTCGAGCCGACCCATTCGTGCCGAAGCTTGGCTCTCCCACACTTAATTATGGCCAAGCTTATTAATAGTATGTTTTCTTTTGTCCTTAGGGATCACACCCTGACAGCTTGTATCGGGTGGCTACGGACAGCAACACAGGCGCCAGCAAAGTGACGCGAGTGCTGCGTGTACTAAGATGGCCTGTTGCACTAATCGCCGTGTGCATCGCCCTCGCTATCTTCGTGTACTTCCTCATGCCTGGTAAGTAAATATTAATTAATTAGAAAGTAAATTTACTTGATGAAGTCGGTGTAATGTATCTTACCCCCATTAGATGTCATACACTTTTCCTTTTTTACATACCCAGAATAGAAACATACATATTAAATAACTAAAATACATGTCTACGTTCATCTTATATATCAAATTTACATAGTATATTTATGTTAGTTCCTTAGGAAAATATTAGCTACTTTATCTGACTAGTGGTTCCTAATACAATTGATTTGAATAACAATAACAATGGTTTAATATTACAATCATAATTCTTACATGAAATTTAAATTTACAACCAATAATAAATATACGGTTAAATTAAAATTTATTGTTTTTATATTAAGGTAATAAGTCAAGGGAAAGCGAACATGACAAGCAAAAACGAAAGCTCAACTTATTACGCACATTACAAATATATTGTTGACATTTTTTTTATAAAACAGATGAAGTCCGTCGTTATCTTCTATCTTTTTGTAACAAAAAGGTTTATAAACCTTTTTGTTTATGCCTTTCTATACATACCTTTCACCTATTTAAGATTGTGGGCAATAATTCTCCTTTTACCTTTCTTGTTCAATCGTATCTCTATACATCTATAACTTTTATTAGTATCAAGCTGTTTCATTTTGAAGGTACTACAAACATAAAACAAAGTTGAGTCGCTACCCAAAAGGTTACCGCCAATCAACGGTGCAAATGACCAAACATTTTTAATTCAACAGTTTTTAGACAATCATAATAGAAACGTATTTATCAAAATTGTTCGAAGCTATAAAAGGAATCAGAGTTCCGATTAGCCGAAGTTATTCTTTGAGAATGTACATATATGGGGTATACAAGGCTTTGTTGAATTGGTCACATTGGAACTTTCAATTTCCCAAACGTAATGCTCCAATATCTGCAGCTTTGCATCATACCGGGCATTTTTGTATCGTGGGTATCGCTCGAAAGCTGATATTGACACCATTGTTTGTAATTGCAGTACATTTGGATGTGTGGAGTTCCCACAGCTAAATCACTGATATTTATTGCAGAGACAGTACAGGCCAACACTCTAAACTCATTTATATTTTACAACTGTTTTATTATATCAATGGTTATGATTTCCGCCGAGAGATCGACACTTTTACCCTGTTACCTGCGTTCATTGGTACAATATTGTTATTAGGTTTATCAATATGAAGCGCATGTGAACTTACGTGAGAATGTTAACGCGATCCCTTACGATTTATATTTTATTAAATCCTTTAGTATTCATTAATTTTATGTTGTCATATTAAAACGTGTTCGGTTCGACTACCGCCGATAATGGGGCAATGAAGTAAAGATAAGAAGGTTTCGTAGAACTGTGGAATATAATTAACATCTGGGAAATTGTATTTTGACATAATGTCGGTTATATCAGAGTCGGACGTTATTTGAGTTGATCGAAAGTCGTTATTATAATGTGATAGAGTTCACTCGGGTTCCGGTGAAGACGCGCCGGACGGCACGAGCGATGTCAGAGGTTAAATCTACACGTAACACGGACACGGCCGTAGAAATACCCACACTACTACAGTCTTGACACTTCTCACTCAACAACTTGTTGGACACAATCTGTTTAGACAGCCCACAGATAATTTAGCAACATGCTGATCTATCAACACGTAATATAAATTTATTACTTTTATCGTCTAATAAAAGTAATTGGATTCTAGTTGACTAAACCGTTTATTGAAAAATCTATCATAATTTTTTATTCAATCAATATGTTATTCGACTCCTTTATCGCCATGACCTGGTCTAAAAATAAATAAGATATTTGCATATAGAAAGTCTGTAATGTTAATTTTTGCATTAAGATCAGTAATTGCCCTCGATGTGGAAGCTGAAACACATCGTAAAATAACTTTCAAAGCAATTATAGTCCTTTTCATGTGCAAATTGTACTTTGATAAGAGCACAAGGCTCTCGAAACTTTTGATCTCTTCATAAATATTCAGTCACTTTCACATCTCACACGCGAAGGGATTTTTAATAACAGATTTTTAAATGGTAAAGTAAAATTGTGGTGAGCAATAATTTTATTGCGTGGGGTGACATGTCTGCGCCTGCGCGGCGCAGCAAGCGACCGGATGCGCTCCAGTCTCCTTTGTTGCTCTCATATTGTGTTTTTATTTGCGAAGGATACGTAAAAACGAAAGTTGACCTCGCCGATACTTTTGTGCATCCATAAAGCCATGTAGGTAAATTTATTTTTATACGAGCTCCACTTTTTCGCATTTCTTTTCCTTTTTAGATAGACAAAATGAATGCTTACCGGCGTGTCGCAGTGTTTTATATAACTCGAATAATTTTGCAATACAATGAAAGTTAAAGAAGCCATCATAATTATAAATAGGAGCACTTGTAATGGCATACGAAGTTTACTATTTTGTATCCGTCGTGTTTGTTATTGAGATCTATTCAAATCATTGTGATTAGAATGCAGCGGTGGCCGTATAATTGATGACAATAAGTTTGTTTAGACTTAACACTAAACAGCGATTTGTTTTTATGTATTGTAAAATGTTGTATAGTATATTATACTATCTTCGCTTTGATTTTCGTACCCCAACATTACTAGAATCCAATATGTAGGCTAATACTGGCCAGATGTACTATCTAAGATAATCGAAAAAAGAATTGTTATTAAACATTTTAAATTACGAAATGAGTTTAGATATAAAAAAGGTTTTTTATCGTCACGACACATCCACACCAACTCATTGCTACTATGGTCTGACACCTCAAATTATTTACAATCAAGAGTATTATACCAATACCAATACAATCCACTCTATAGGCACTTTCTGTTTTACAGTATGCAAAACGTGAAGACATACGCGTATAATCAAATGCGGATTCACGCGAAAACAATTACGAAAATTAATTGAAGGTTGTTGTTGCTATCTGCTGATGCTAATGTACAAGCACTTCCAGTTTCGATTTAATAACCGTATTGTTGCAATCATTATGTACGGTGATTGAATACAATAAAACGATTGCTGATTCAAATTAAACTTCGGAGAAAGGAGGAACTTCACAGTGCTTCTATAAAATCTATAGGGCACACATCAGAGTACCGATTAATCTACATATATGAAGAACAAACAGCGTCTGTTGCCTTTAATTAAAAATGTACCTTATAATCCATTTAACACTGAGTTCAAATAAGATAGTTAGGAATTTAAAGGTCCTTTTTGACTGGTACACGTGTTTGTAATGCCATTAAAAATATTACCTACATGTATTAAGTATTTAAGCGTGTTCCATTCGATTTGCAAAACAATTTATCGCGATGGAATAAGTAATGTATAGTTGTAATTAAGGACGTTTATAACTAGTGGGGCTACGACAGTTGATATGTGTTGCTAAGGTGTGGCCGCTGCCTGTAGGCTGGGACAGCTCCGCTTAACTTATGTGTAAAGTAGTTATCTACTAAATTACCTAATGACTCCTCGTCCCACCGTACTAATAGTCTCCCGCATCGACACAGCACTAGTTCTCAAATTGCATCCAGCACGCCTTACAGCGTTATGTAACATATAATCATTTTAATTACTTACAAAGTAGGATACGTGTTACAGGGAGCCTAAACTACATCCTGTACATCGGTTAAGTCACATTTCTGCGAAACTGTTCGGTGCGTGCCGCGGAGAAACTGAGCGGAACGCAACTCAGTTATGTAGGGAAATGTTTCATTAAACTCCTTAAAATACATATGGTACGGTACGTATAAGGTCGAGACAACAATGTTTAAGGGCCAGGGATACGGGTACAATTCCACTTATGAGGGAAGAGAAGGAGAAAGAGTGGAATGGTTTTAAGCCAGTAAGAGTCTGACAATCGCCCCACTTGGGCCGGTAGAAATTATATTTTAATAATGCTGCGACCACAATATCAAAAGCACTATGGTCAGACACATTAAGAATTTTCAACTGAATAATAACTTTAGTTATTTTCTCTTCTTTTTTTATTTACTTCATTCATGTAATGAATAACTATGCAGCAAAGTATATTAGTCTCATAATGGTAATGTACTTTCATCTTGAAACAAATAAAAATACAACATTTATTATAATATTAAAACAGCTAGAGAAGCTGTTTTAATATATAAAATAATTCATAAATAACAAAACACAGTCGTTAAGGGAAGTCCTATAATTCTGACAAGGAGAGCACCATATTTGCCTAAAGAGCATGATTTATTTATGTATATTGTGTAACCGCGATAAGGATTAATGACGATACTAGGCTGACACGGAGGAGTGCCGTGACATCTTGAACCAAGCTTTCACCTGCACGTGGCTTCGCTCTCAATACCTAATTCTTGAGCTTGGACCCTCTTTCTGCTAAGATTAAACCAATTCTTGGGTACATTATGTGTAACTTTTAATATTATCTGAAATTCAAAAATATATACCTACGTATGGATATGCTTGAGTCAAGGACTGTTTTATCTAAAAACAAGAGCAAGGAAACACTGGTCCTTAAATAAGAAGAACTGCAAATTATTACAAATAAGCTAATTTCTGTCAGCGGCATCGTCCTCTGTACCAGGGTAAAAAGTAGCCCTAGGTAATAATTTAGACCCTAATCTATCTTTATGCCAAACTCCATTCAGATCTGTTCATCATCAGCCTATAAGTGCCCACTGCTGAGCAAAGGTCTCTTCTCATACGGAGAAGGTTAGCATTAATCACCACGCTTGCTCAATGCGGGTTGGCGATTTCAAACTTATAATTAGAAATTATACTTTCAGGTTTCCTCACGATGTTTACCTTCACCGTATGTCAGTGGTGTCTAAATAAATCCAAGTGTTCAGATTTGTAATGTAGTTTTTATTCAAATGAGTAACAGACATCCTTCCTGTTACACATATTTAGAAACAGTCGCATATAAAAGATAAGGCTACATTTGTAATATAAAATAAATAAATAAATAAATAATAATAATAATATGTGTAATTAGTAGGATTTACATAACCAATAACTAGATAAGAATGTATAGCAGCGTGATTAGCATGAATAGAACCAAAATAATTATACTTAGTTGGCTCTAAAAACTGCTATCTATCTAAAAGACAAGATGATACAATGTAATATTTAAGTTACAATGTTATTTGATTCGATGTAAACCAGCTAGTACTACCGGTCACCGCAAGCGCGAGCTTACATTGCCTGTGTAATATAAATGTTGACATCATCTTTACAAAATTGCTTGGTGAATAATTCCAACTAAATAGTACCCATATATAACTTTTAGTCACATTTAGAAGTTGAAGTATTTCATAATAAATCTCCAAATTTTATTTTTGTAGCAGTTAATAGAAAGAGAATTTTATGAAATAAGTACGCACTTCACTATAAATCATGTCTCAAATGTTATTAGTAGTTAAGTATTTCGATTAAAATTGCAGGCAAATCGTTATTTCGAAGGAGTCTATTAAATTCAATGATTTTCAATATTACTAACTTACATTAAATGTATCTATCTAAGTATTTCAATTAATTTTAATAACTATTCGTTTGTAGGTTTTTGGCACGCGTCAAAATTAATCCAGCTATTAAGTCGACGGTATATAACTTTATTGATTTATAACTACCTAGTCTGAAATAGAATGTTGGCTTCTATCTAATGAAGACAGTTTATTGAATTCACTCTTCTAAATTGCTCAATCTTCTGCAAGCTGTCGTAAAATGTTACGATATCATAAAGGCAAACAAGTGTTTTTATATTCCGTTATTTTACTAGATAGAACCTATAAGTAAATGATTGAGAATATATGGCTTTAGAATGAAGCTTTGGCCATAACCAACGCCTGTCGCTAATTTCGAGCAACGCAAACATTGAAAACAACATACTGCGAACATTAGTCAGGAAGACATTTTTTTAAAAACCTTTATTTGTTTAAGGACCCTTTATCTGTATACAATTATATGTAAAACTTGGCTTACTATTATTTTAACGAAGTACATTGTTAGTGAAAAAGCTAAGTGACCAATTACTGGTTCGATTTTAGGTATAAAATAGAATTGGGTATCCACAAAATGTGATTTCAATTTATGATAATAACGAAAAGGCAACGTCCCACGTTGACTTAATCTCCAAATCGACTATCATTTAATCCCTAATAACCCAAAAAGGCCGGCAACACAGTTGTGGTATCAATTTGCTATAACGAGTGTCCACTGAAATAACTAAATATAGTATCATGCTTATCCAGGCATTAACTTTGTAATTTCAGACAACTTGGAGACGAGGGCAGGTGAGAACGGGACGTACTGGGAGCCTATCGTGGCCGGACATAGACCTCACCACGATTCACAACGGGAACATCATAAAAAGAAGCCCGTGCATGAAGAACGTGGTAAGTTTTGAGTTAATTAGTATCTAAGAACACGCAATAATTATGTGTTAAAAAAAATAACATTAATAATAATGTTTGTGCTGATGAATGACTGTTTGTAACACTGAAACAAAAACCACTTAATGTATTTTGATGAATTCAAACATACCTACAGATAGACTACATTTTGAACAGCATACATAAATTTTAATTAAAAACTTTTTAAATACAAGCTTTTATCAGCTGGGGTAATAAGTCCCGGAATTTCGGAAATTAGAATCATTTTTTACGAATTTAATATAAAGTCATACAACTTAGCATATAAGAAAAAAATTAATAAATTTAGTTATTGAGTAATGAAATGACAAATATCTTCTTTAAAATATAGTTGCAAGATTCTACTTCACAAACATACATACAGAGATTTGTTAACGTGAAGTATTCAAAAATACATAGGTACATAGGAACACACATAGGTACACTGCAACTTAAATAAAAATAAAGATCGATTATAATATGAATTTCGGAATACTTATACATATAATTTCCGTGACATAATAAATTAATTTTATTACGAAAATAAGTTATTGCGTTTAATAGAATGGAGTACGCTTTACCGCACACATTTCGGTACATCGCAAACACAAAAAAATCTCTTCAAGATCCCTGAAACACTCTTAGCAAGTGCATTATTATCGTGTGCAGTTCGCTGCCCTCTAGAGGTATTTAATATATAATATGGTCATATATATTTGTTTTCATATCACGATTTCTTGTGAATGTGTAGAATTATATGGGAATGTATCCGTTTTTTCATCACACACATAACACATTCTAGGTGTTAACTTATCTATAAAAAGCACAATTTTTGTTATATCACCAGTGAATGTTTCATGTTTCACAAACACCATACTATTTTACTGAGTTCAATATAAGGGAAAATTGTGTGTGTACAAGAACTAACTGAGTTAATCCCTGTACTAACAAATATTTTCCAATCACATAATTGCAGGTTCGAAACCATCGGAAATAGATTTCTACGACCCCGAAAACAATAAAAACCCTGAAATAAGCACAGTTGAAACGATTACAAATACTAATCATCTAAGAAGCATTCCCATATTTCCTGTTTTCCCATCCCATATTTCACCTGAAGTTCAATACGGTAACGAAAAAGCAGATTCCAACAATTTAAGAACACCAAAACAATTTGAAGCTTTCGGCGACGCCAATGACTCCACTTTGAAGCCACATATTACCCAAAAACCTGAAAAACCTTTAGAACTTTATTTGAATGAAGAGACAAGTACAACTACGGAAGTTATAAATAGAGCTGAAACTATAAACGATTTCACCACGCATGATCACAAACAAGTGACCAATAAGTTTGTGGAACCATCTGCGTCTGTTAAACTGCGACAGTCTACCCACAAGGACTATACCCAGCCAATCCTGTACAACCACGGGAGAGACCAGCGAGTGCCGCTCGAAGTAGAAGAATTCTACAGTCGCCGCCCCAATATTGAGGACGTCAACTTCACATCAGGTCATTCAAAGCTTTTTGGTATATCTATAGAGGATGCAGAAAAAATGAAATCGACAACACAAAGCTCTCTATACAATACCAGAGTGTCCCCCACGCTTCCAACGTGGCGTGATGGAGATGACACAACAACTAAAAAGTACCCGTCAAATGTCTATTCAGAGGGTAAGTCTTTGATTTTTATTTCAAGGGGCATGCGGTACCATCGTCAGTCAGTAAAAGAAGATAATGGTATGTAGGTACTGAACAAATAAGAAATCACAAATCTTTAGAAATACGTATATCTAACTTGGTAGAAATTAGGAGGGTACTAATTTTTACTGTGAATGGGTGTAACTAATATAAAGTATATGTTTGTTTCATTGGTAGACCAATTTAGAAAAATAGAGGGATATAGAACCAATTTTTTTTATTTATTTTTTCAGTTCAGTGTCGTTCGCCGCGTTTGGCTCTCTGTCGAGGCGTCCTTCCGTACGACTTAGCTGGAGCGCCAGCAAAGATTGGAAATATGGAAATCACATCTCTCCTGCCCCAGATCGACTACTTGGTGTCTACAAATTGCAGTGATCGTGTAAAGCACTTCATGTGTGCTCTACTTGAACCTGAATGCAATGCCCCACCGTATCCACTGAAAATGCCGTGCTACAGCCTTTGTAAAGGTAAAGTAGCTTATTCAAGCCCTTTCATGACTTATTCTTTAAATAAGTTTACATAAATGTGATCAATTTATCATGTCCGTTCTTACCCTGATTTCAGCAATCTTTGATTCGTGCGACGGCCAAATTCCCGCTGAGTTGACCCCGGCTTTCAACTGCAAGCAGTACTCGCGAAGTAACTGCGTGGATGCGAAGGCCCCCTGCTACCCTCGTGAATTCGGCTGCGGTGACGGGTCCTGTGTTCCAAGGGATTGGATCTGTGACGGCACTAAGGATTGTTCTGCCGGAGAAGATGAAGCTACCTGCGTTCAGTGTGAACAAGCCGAATACCGGTAACTAAATATATTGAAGTAGCACATTCCTCTCAAACATAAATGTATCTTTAATTTCTATTGGAGCTTAGCTTTTCTCAATTCATTGCGTTATTTTTAATAACTTATATGGCATCTAAATGCCATATAACATCGGTGTGGTCGACAAGTCTACAAAGATGATAAACGTTATATTGTGTCACAGCTGTAGATCAGGCGGGTGCATCCTGAAACGTTGGCTCTGCGATGGCTATTCGGACTGTCCAGACGGCGACGATGAACATAGTGAAACCTGTGGCTCGCACAACCCTCATACTTTTATTACCGACACTCTAGAACCTAGTCAAGTACAAGCTGCTTCCGACATTCGCGAACCCGGCGAAGAATCTGCAGGGTCCGCTCCAGCACCAGCCGTCCGAAGACCAAACAGAGTGCCTATTGGACAGAAGGTCTCAAGACACCACGGTGGTAAGCTTTAACTTCCTTAAATTATCTAATTCATTTTTATTGTTTTATCTTCATTGAATAAATGAACGTATATTAACATTTACCTTTTTTATTAGAAAATGAAAGCAGCAAGGAACTGCTGATCACGAGCGACAGTAACAACGGTTTAAGAAGAAATTACACGCGCCGGCCCTTACCTTCAAGGTTGTCCCATTATCAACATAGTCATATGCGAGGCAAAAATCAAGATACCAAGAAAGAAGTTGTAACAGAGAAAAATGCAAAGGAAGTGGACGTGAAAAAGTCTGAGGGAGATAAAGCCACGCAAAAACCCTCGGAAAATGAGTCCATCGAAGATGTCAATATGGGAGATCTAGGATTTTTCGATGAATTCGAGAAGGAGGGTAAAGAACAAGCTCGTAGTGGCGATGACACAAAGGCAAAGCAACGTGCGAAACCGAAGTTTGGAGTACCCCCGCCCAGCCCGACAGCCGCAACAAAGGCGACACAATCCACTCGTCTCGATAAAACAGCCAACAATTTGGATAGAGTTATTGATGGAGCTGGTCTTTTAAGGGTAACGTAATTTAGTTCTTTCTACAATACACATGTCTATTTAAAATTTCAACAAATTTCTAAATCTTTTAACATTAAATACTAATTTTGTAATAAATATTGCAGAAAGCACAAGCTGCGCAAGCGGCGGAGACAGCAGTAGAAGATTCATCGTTTAATGACACCTCCGTGTATGTGGATAAAGAGGAGACACTTATAGCGCCTATTACACCCATTGACAATCAAGCTAATCAAGCTAATCCAGGCGGCGGCAGGCCTACGCCGGTCGCCACTGCACGTGACTTCGGCAAGGGAGACTGGTCGCGGGCGCATGCCTCACCGTGCCCAAGCGGTGAACTGCGCTGCGTGGATGGTCGCTGCATCACTCTGGCACAGCTGTGCGACGGAACCATCGACTGCTCTGATCACGCTGATGAAGACAACTGTTACACGTGATCGTACTACCACCCAGATAGTGGTAAGTTAGGTTGTTAGAGAGTGTATCTCACTCAAGCGATGTCGTTATTATTCCAGTTGCTGCTGATCAGTACCCAGCCACCAATATGAGTTCTACGACTGTTTATTTAATGTCAGCTTGCTTATATTAATATGTTTAAACTTATAAAAGAGAAAGAGTTAGAATTCAATAGATCCATCACAAGTTGTTAAAAGTGAACGTTACGCTACAGAAATATAATAAGCTGAGTAACTTAAAACAACATTGGCTCGTTGGTTTGAAAGCTAATAAATTAAATTGGGGTATCCTTAATTGGAGCTAACAAGCACTGGATAAATACGTCATCAGAATGACCCACGTGCACCCTTAAGTTATGTTTTAAAATAGTATACGCTGTGATAAAGCAATGCATGAATAAGGTGGAACAAACTCACATTCTGCCAGTGAGGCAGGTTAGTCTCACGTGTGCTACCGTCCATTTTAGTAGTTATATTAATTATTGTAAGTACCTGTAGAGCTAGGGCCTATATATTTAGATGTAAAAAACATTAATCATAATCTTTGTGCATGCGTTGACTAACATATAAGCAATTGTATTTTTAAATTTAAACTAATGATCTGTAACGTATATCATTAATTCTCTTTCTATATCCGTCCGTCAATATTTATACACAAATACTGAAAAAGTATTTTTTATCTGCCAACCTTTATACTCATATTAATTAACATTACCTATCGTTATTTTAGAATTCATTTTCGTTTCATTTAATTGTAAATAATCTTTCATTTCCTTGTCATTATTAAAGTTTGTTACTTTATTAAACATTATTCTTATTTTAAAATACTAAAATACTTTTTTGTTAACTTAACACTTTGTAAACTTACCTATATCGTAAAACGAATGGGTGCGCATTTGTAAATAGGACTAACATTGAGTTATTTATAGTAATAAGTATTTATATAAAGATCAAACGAATCAATTATAGAAGAATTAGGATTAAAAATATAATGCATTGTTTTATTTTAATGTAAGTAAGTTTGGTCAAGTGTTGTCTGAGACAACGTAGCGTAGTGGTAAATTATCTTGCTTTTCACATAATGGTTATACTTCAAAAGGAACTGTTTTTCTTTTACAAATTTTGTAAGTCCTAAGGTAAAAATGTTTTTGTATAACTACGACGACTTACTCGCGTGAATTAACTTAGAAAAACTCTACCAGTGTCAGTCACAACGTCTTATTCATGACTACCTAGCGTTCACGCTGGAACTAGAAAAGTTTTCATCAGTTAATTTGAACATCGTTTATAAATAAATGATATTGAATAAAATAAGTATTGGATAAAAAGCCTCAACCACGAATTTATAACTTTTATAATGTACCTATTTAGACATAGATCTATTAGATTATTCGTAATAAATCCGAATTAATTAAAGAAAAGAAAAGAATCAATGAAAAGAAAAACTAAATTAAAAATTGGTAATGTTGAGGAGAGTAAATTATTTTAATCTGTAATGTTGTTATTGACTTTCTGTGTTTATATTATTATCAAATTTTAATTCTATTATTTGAATTGATGTACTTAATGGTAAATATCTTGTATCCAAGGTATCTTATTGGCTCACCGCTTACATATTCAATTCATCGAGTTTAGTTAATAAGTATAATCCGCCCATAATATTATATTAGTATTAATAAGTACTTTATAACGAATAAATAGAAGTAGCTTTTAATATTGTTTATTGCTTCGTATTATCCAAAGTAATGTCATAATAAACATTTTTTTTACTTGCGTAGCTCGACCTTATTGAGTTTCCCTTCATTTTGTATTTGATAAGATGTTAAAGGAATATATAATATAAAACATTTTAAGTATAAGTAAGTTATGTACTTATTGTTTTATTGTACTGTTACTGTATCAAAATGGTTAGGTATTAAGGTTATCATTTTTATGATAATAAATAATATGCCATGTTACCTTTTATTTGTTTTATTTTTTAATCTGTGCCATTTATGGTAGGTCTCATTGATCTGAGTTTAAAATTAGGTAGCCAGTCATTATCTAGCTAGGTGTAGAGGTTATAATACTCTCGAATTATATAAAAAAACTTTTATATACTGGCAGAAATGTAAAAAAAATCTAAAGATGCCATTAAAATTCATTTTTCTTTTTTTTTATTTGTGTCTAATGACTATCCTTAAAGTTTTTTAGAATAATGGCCAGCATCATTATTTATTTTTCTAACAAAGCCCATAGAGGTTGTGCTCGTGAAAAAAATGTTTACCAAAAGATAAGCTTACAAAGTGCACAAGGTAATCATTATATATAGTGCCTACAGTTTTTATTTGATGCATTTTATATGATTTGTAACTAGGTAAGTACATCAAAATAAAAATTCTTTCAAATTACTTATCTAACAGCATATCCACGTACCAAGAAAATATCAGAAGAAGAATATAATAGAGTTAGGGTGTCTTAACACATCCTGGTGGACAACTTCAGATGGAATTGTTATTTGTTACCGAAGCTATCAAAAAACTATCATAAGATAGTTTTAGATAGTGATAAATCGGCAAACGAGTATACTGACATTATTTATTTTCATTACCTGTTGGTAAGCAATCAGCTGCCTGTGGACAGCCGCAACACCAGACGTTACGAGGATTTTGTCGGCCTTTTGAGGTTTAGAGTTTTGGAGATTTAGGGATTCGCGAGGAATGGATTGAGCCTCCAGTAGCATCACTAACACGGCGGAACACAGCACCGTGATTGTTTTCTGTGAGGCCGTGGTATCACTCCGGTCGAGCCGACCCATTCATGTCGAAGTATACACACTAGTAACTACAATTAATCTTCAAAGTACCTTTTTTTGTGAGGGGGAAATCATCAAATGGCTACTCCGTCTTGTCAGACTCTTACTGACTAAAAACCCCCCTGTTCCTTCTCCTGCTCTGGGCCGAGGTCGCGGTACCTCATTGCGCTTACCCTGCAACCCCGGCTGAACATCAGCCCTCTAGGGCCCCGTCTGAACATCAGCCCTCTAGGGACCCGTCTGTGGTGTCTATTGGCCGAGGTCGTGGTACCTTATTGCGGTTACCCCGCAACCCCGGCTGAACATCAGCCCTCTAGGGCTCCGTCTGAACATCAGCCCTCTAGGGCCCCGTCTGTGGTGTCTATTGGCTCTTAAAGGCGCGCGCGGAACGCTACGCGCCGTACGCTCAGGTCTGGCTTACGGTGGCCGGAGATCATCTCTAGATTTCCGACGCCCGGAATGTCGCCTACTGCAGCGGCTGGGGCGCGTGGAGGATAGTCCCTCATGCGCTCTTTTTACTTGCTATAAACTAGTGCTTGACTCCGATCCCACCTGATGGTAAGCAGTGATGCAATCATTGATGGTGAGGAGCACTAGTTTATTAAGAGCTTATTCACTCTGGCCTTGAAGACACCTAAATTATATTCGCCTCCTCCTATGCGAGCATCACTGCTTCACACAAGTAGGAGACGGCGTCCCAGTTCCTCTCGCTCCGCACCATGGATGGCGACTACCTCTCGCACCGCCTCGATAGGTCACCGCCGCCGATCACTTCCCTGAAGACACGTTGGTGCTCAGCCCAGGCAGGGCATACCGCCACCGTATCCTCTAGGTGGTCATCGCAATGACGACACTCGGGCATTTCTTCCCGCTGAATCCGAAACAGGACCCTACCGATGCTGCCGTGCCCGGTAAGCACCTGTAGCATCTCTCAAGCCACTCCTCAAAGAGGGGTGTTACCGCTGCTATAATAGCGTGCCCGAGTCTTCCAAGTACCTACCGTAATAAAATGAAAATGCGTTTGTAAAATGTACCTACTCCCGAGGTATTCGATGACGACGGTTTTTATTTGCTTCTCCTATGTCATTTTGCAATGTTTTAGATATTGGGCCACAGATTACGATAAACTAGTCAGAGAATATTTAATTTAGGTACCTTTTTGTAACACAATTAGGATAAAACATTTTTATTCTCCATACATCGTATGCAGAAATCTTTGCAATGGAATTGCCACGATTTGAAATGATGGAGTGCAAAATATAAATAACTGTAATTCTTGGTTATTGGAAAAGTGGGTATATTATTTTATAATTACGTTATTCGAACAAAACAAACTTTACGAGTTGACAGGAATTTTAAGAAAATTAAAATTTGGCCATAAAATTTAAGTAAACGTTGATTTTCTACTTCTAATGGCATTCGGTGTTTTTTTTATAGATTTCTTACCGGTGTTATAATGACACCGTACCTAAAAGTTTAAAAATGCTAATGCTATCAAACCATGTGATGCGATGGCATTGAGTCAGTAAGACTGACATTTCTACTAGCGAAACCTTTAAAATCTGTTTAAAATGGGCTCAATCATCACAACTATTCAATAATAACCATGACATAATAATGGCGTCTCCCATATCCACTAGGTACTTCGAGTACCTATGTTATACGTAACTTTTTTATAAGACTCTAACATTGAGTAAAAGTTACAAGTACCTACAATATCACCAAAACCTATAAAAATTACTAGCGCCTACTATTTTTCAAATACTTTTCTTTTACTGCACAACGTAAAAAGTTTCTATATCGCTAGCTGATCTACCAACCTTCTGTTTAATTGGGTAGTTTCCTAGGTCAAAAATAAATTATTTCGACGTTTCAATACAATAAAATATTGAAAAATAACTAGACTTTTATTCATCGATCGATCGATATACTATTTTTTAGATTTTTTTTAGCTAATTATTAAGAAATGAGTAAGCTATTTGACGCAAAAAAGTTATGACGTCATAGCTCAGTTTTTCATACCTACAAATTTCATAGAAAATATTCGTTTTTGACGTTTGGATAAAAGTATTGAATTTGACTAGTTGGAAACTACCGTATTCCGTAAAGTCGAGTCCCTAGCTTCTAATCGCGTTTCGGTTCGTAAACATTCTAAATATAGACTGAAATCGTATACCGAGAACTTAAACACAACTTGGATACCTAAATTTTACGCTTAGTGATCTCCTAGTCATAGATGAGTCATCTGTAGCTATCTATTCAATATCGCAGTGTCTCAAAATATCTACAGTTGTAAAGCAGGCAAGAAATATTCGTATCGTCTTAGGAATAAGATTCAGTTTTCAGCGGTGTGAATTTTCCTTATCGACCTTACAGTTACTTAGTTTATTTTAGATTTTTTATATTTTTTCATTCATAGTGTGATTACCTCATCTGGCGGCGCGCGGCGCTACCGTTCAGTTTCGGAGTTCGTGTTCGTTTTGCTTTGGTCATTTCGCACTTGTTTTGAGGTCGGCTGGCTTCGTCGTGTTTCCTTATCCAATGTAGGGTTGTCGTCCACTAAATCGAACGTGCTTCCTCAATACATTTTTTACAATTCTGTCAGTTCAATGAATTAATTATGAGTCACTGAATGAAACTTTTAAGGCCATTTATTAACACCGGCATTTATTTTATAAAATATTGAATAGGTAATCAGTAAGATCTTGTGATTTAAAATTCTAAATCTAAATTTGAAAATCTAGCTTTCGATCAAATGATAGCATGAAAGCAGTAGGTACACACAACACAACAAAACAAACCAAAGTAACAGATCTGTAACTCATTATAAATGTCCCAAACTGTGACTACCGCGATAGGCTCCACATAATATATTTAAGGTAAATAATAGTTAGTCACTTGTTTGCGTCATTGGAATATTAGCACAATAGGTCTAGTACGAATGGGGAATAAACAGGCCCAGTGTCATCGACCGCTACCCACCGGGCGGCTGGCGGCATTGCAGGCTGGTAGAAAGCGGAGTGAGTCACCCGTGGCCCAACACGTAGCCGCTCCAGGCTGCCTTGACGAAACGGATATCTCGTACCTACCTACCTATATATCAAGGACTCTCGTGTTTATACCTACATCATGTTTCGATATAGAGAAAAAAGAAACATTCTGATAGAGACATTAGTCGACATGCCATTCCGATTTTTTAGGTTACATGGTCTATATTCATAACAAAAGTATTGCTTCATATATTTTTCAGTTTGATCAAAGAATTTTATAATGAATCCTTATTCTTTAGATTAAGATTCATAATAAATTAATTAGATAGCCGTAAACAAGGATAAAGTTTTCTAACGTTTCAGAAAAATAGTATTTTATTAAACAAATGCTCTCAGTGAGATAAAAATATAAGTATAAAGTAACCAGTATTTCTAACCAGTAAAATTCTACTCGATAGGTAGTTCAAATACCACCGGTTTAATGGGACGGGATTTTCTTATGGTTCATTGAGTGTATATTGTTGTAAAGAAATACATTCTCTGAACACAATGGCTGGTCGGGCATTCTATGCAGAACGTGGACAGGTTGCAGCCGTTGCAGGGAGCCGAATGAAAGTAAATAAACATTGCATTCGTGAGGTAAACAAACTTTGATACTAGTTTGTCCACTCTGCCTAGTGCCTTGGTAAGTATAACGAATGCTTTCTAAATACGTAGGCCGAACGTTTATCTAATCAATGCGGGAGTGCTTACATAAATTGTCATCAACATGAATTATGTCAAGCCCTATTGTTTATCTCGATTAGTTATATAAATAGGTATCTATTGTGTCTTTGTCACGAGGTACGTAAGTATTGTTATATTCATTAATTATATTCTCCGACCAACTATGAATAGAAAAACTGAGGTAATGAAGTACATCATGAATTTTCAGCAGCTCAATAGTATGACTAATAATAATAATTTAATGATTATTCAATTAATAACATATGAAAATAATATCGTTTGTAACGGTGCTTAATAATTAAGTAGGTTAGGTTACGTACCTACCTAAATAATGAATTAACAAAGGCAGTTTTAAATTCAGTTTGAACCATCTTTTTCAAAAATACTTACTTCCAAGGACGCATTAACAATCATCTAGAAAAACAAATTGTTCATACTATATGAATGGTAAACATCATATCTACGAATTGTGTTCTTATTTTCCATAATTGATATAAGCTGAAGAAGCTAGGCATTTGATAAACAATTAATTTTGCTCCCATAATTAAATTCCTAGCCACCTAAGTAAAAGAAGTTGACTATCTACATAAATGTTCCTTTTAGTTCATCATGCTTGCTACTTGCCTAGTATTATGGGCCATCGTAGCGTTAAAATGGTAAAAGTGTTGCAATGTATCGGCACGCGAAAGGTGCAGGTTCTAGACAAGTGTTTCTTAATCTAAGATCCGTACTAATGCCAGTACCTACAATCAACTGAGTCAGCTATCACAGTGCTCAGAGGAGGTTGAGTCTGATCAAGCTATAATTATTGTCATTGATCATTGCAATGTGGTTTACAAAACATTTGTATTTGTTTCATTTTCTTTTCGTCTCTAGTCCTACTGTTGCAGATTGCAATTATAAACGCATAACTGCGGCCGTAATAGTGGTTTGTGACGTAACATTCCTATAAAGGAAGACTCAGCTCTGCTTTCTTAAAACACGATAAGTAATTAGAATGGTAAAAAACATGATCCGGATTTTTGCATCTGTCGAATCAAGCAATTTTTTAGGAATAAAGTTATTTTTGTAATGTGAATGGCAGATATCTATCTAGGTGTTTTTACAGCTAATTAGTATCAATTAAGTATATTTTTGAACGCACTGCGTAGGTAGACATCTTATTCCAGACTTGTTATATTTTTGTCTAATCGATGTCGTAACCACTTCTGGAAAAAATATAATAGTTTCTTTGATTAACTTCGCAGATAAATAGTTAGGTATTTATGTATCTGACAATATTTGCAGATCTCATGAGTTTGTGAGTCATCGCGGTCTTATTGCGAAGTTAGTGCGCAGGGTTGTCTCTGCTCTACCATGTGTTAAAACTGATTACAGATATTGCCTTCTACACTAGTCGCAATTAGTTTTTTGAAATGTTGAACGAAAATTCTATTATTATTACAAATTGACAAGACAGAATAGCCTAGTACCTACCTAGATATCTACCTGTACAGATCATCTGATTCTAATTACCTATATGGTCAAGGAGTTTGTAATTTTGATACTTATCTACAATAATATTCCAAATATTTAAATTTAAAAAAGGACTATATATTTGTAAAGTCCTATAAAAAGTTGCGTAAGGGATGATGGCTCGTTGTTCTGTTTACCCTCCATCAGTCTGTATTGTCAACAATAATACTGCAGTGCCGCTGCCATTCTCGTGGATGATGAATGAAGAAATTAATTTCAATACCAAGTAGCCATTCAGTAGCTGTAACGTAAAGTTTTTTCGGTTTACAAAGATTAAGATGTGTAGACAACCGATCATTAATGCGTTGTAGACAAATCCAGTCCAAATTTTTATAAACTCGATGCACCAATCTAATTAGGTGTCATTTTATCTATTTATATTAAGAACCAGGTAAACCAACTATTGCGTAGGTACCCACTGGACCTATTGATTAGGTATTATTCCTAGGCAATCCTTTTCCAATAAGAGATACAATAGGTAATTAAAGACTACCTAAGATTAATTATAAAAAGTAAATAACAAAAAACCATTGAAAAGACTAAATTATTAGTATCTAGGTATTGCCTGCTATGTATTTCTACAACATAAGTAAAGGCAATTTATGTCTTTATTTACAAATTACAATAATGAAGCACTGTTGTGGGGGAATGCGTACTACATAAATAAAGCATTGTAGAACTGAGTACGTTGGTGATTCATTTCTCGGAATTGACCTTGCTATGAGTCATTCGTTGGAAGGCAGAGTCGGGGATACCGCGCCTGTCTGCCGGCTGCTTGCTAGACGCACTCCGCTCACCGTGCTGCGCTTTTCACGAAATATCTTGTGTTAACATAATAATAACATATATTAGTGTTAAATATGTGTGTGAATAAAAAACGCAGAAGATTTAATTAAAAATTCTTCTTAAAAATATTTGTAAATATTTTTGTGTTTCCGAAGTTGGATATCATGATAACAACCATGACGTCATTCATATTATTAAAGGTAAGTAATATTAACTAGATAATTAATAAATATCTAAGATTTACTGATAAATATTGTACAATTATTTAAGAATTATTATGTGGATGAATCATTCTAAAAACTCTTATCAGTTTCTTATTTGACCATTGTAGTTAGTCTGACGTTTACATTATTATGCGTATAAATTGAAAACGTAGGAGTTGTAGATATAGCGATCTCTGTTTTACACGTAAAATTGTCAGTTATTAGAATGAGAAGAACTTCACTTGTATGGGTATTTTGAATTGGTTGCTTACTCGAATGTGATTTTGTACTATGTGAGAAAGAAATAGAGATAAACATGGCGAACAGTTTCTAAAAGTTTATGTCGAAACGTATAGAAGTCTCTAAAGTTTATCCAATTAAATAAAGCGTATTGAACAAATATTCTATAATAAATGTGACAAGTTTGTGCAACCTTTAAGATAAAGAAACCAAACAAATTAAAATCATAACTTGTATGAGAAATGATCAAGAAAAGTTCTGTGTCTGTGAAAATACTTGTTGAACAAGTTTTAAATTAACTTTTCAGACAAACTCTTTTTTGTTGAGAATGAACAGAGAAGATAATGTTAACTGGTTTCATGGGAAAATATCTCGGGACACGGCTGAGAAGCTCTTAAAAGAAGGTTGGTAGTGATTATTATTATTTGTTGTTGTTGATGAACTAATGTTTTTTGTTGTTGTTGACTTGAATGTATTCTAACTTGCAGAAGGAGAGGATGGTGTGTTTCTAGTGCGTGAAAGTAATACTTCCCCTGGAGATTATGTTCTCTCAGTCTTACATCAGGTCAGTTACTTTATAAAGTTTTTATAACCTCTAAAACAAAACTTGTTTTCCTGTTAGACCAAGTCTTATTAATTAGCTTTGTCTTTACCGTAAACAAAGATAAGAAAAAATATGAATTCCTATTGAATGCAAAAGTTACACAGATTAAATATAATAATATTTATTTCATTTCTTCAAAAGGGGGAAGTTGTACATTATCAAATTCGAAGACATGGTGAAGATGCATTCTTTTCGATTGAAGAGCACACAACAGTTCATGGACTGGACACACTCATACAACATTACCGAGGAGATTCCAACGGACTGGTTACCCGACTATCTGTGGTGTGCAAAGGACAGCCACCACCTCACGAATCTCGCACTCAGGGCACCACCAACCTATTACACCGGTTAGTAAATAATAGAATAATTTTAAAAACATTAATTCACACTTTGCTATAAGCATTCTGCACACCATAACTTAAGAGCAATTTAGTGAAATTAATGCTCTACTCATCATAAAAGAATTATGAAACTTTATGGTGCAACTGACTGTATATTCCCTTCATTGATTTAAAAAGGGAATGAGGACATTGACCTCCTTACAAATACAATACTCTGTCACATTTAATAAGTATTATGTTGTCCAAATAAATAATTGTACAGTACACATTAAATACAACTTTTATGGAACTATATATTGTGATTAAACTAACAATACATTGTTTAGCTAAATTATGGCTTAGGGCTTAAATCATGCATGTCATTACTAGCAATCATAAATCAAAGCAATTGATAAATATAATATATAGTTGTTCATATACACAGTTGTACATAGGTATAGTTGTTCAATCTAAAACATTATTTTGCTTTGCTTTATCGAGGAAACTTATTGAAGCAGGTCCCTGATAAACTTCTTATTTTTCATTTTCCCACATTGGTATATGAATGAATAAAAGCTCAAGAAAATACAAATTGACCAAAACATGCAATGCCAATTAGAGATAGTAGATAATGCTTTTATCTAGTTGAAGAAGGAAGTTCTATTAAGATGAGAGCTACCTAAATTGCCCTTAATTTATCCCTCTTGTTTTATTACCAAGTTGAATGGAGTGTACCAACATTCTTTCACCATACATACTCTATAATTTATTTCTTAAGCTTACTATAGAGCTTTACTTATAGAGCATAGATAAATTACTATGCTCAATGACCACTGCATACATATGTATATATTTTATCATAAAAATAATATGTCTATTACTTGTAATTTTTCATATTCCTTACTTTAAATTATTAAAAAAAATTAAATGAGTGTAAAAAGATTAAATAATATTGCTATTAAAAATAGATTAATGAATATTGGGACCTCACACACAGTTAATTAATTGTCTTTGTTTATAAAAAACAAGTCCATTTTAAGAATAATGACCATGAGTAGTATTAATTTCTTAAAATAAAATTGCACATTTTTAAGTTTATTCATAACACATATAAGCATAAAAGGGGTTATTGCACTGATTTTCACTTGCATAGCAGTTTATAGGGCTTGTAATTCAACACAAGTGCTGACAAGCTTATTGACAATTTCCTGTTGAGCGCATTGTTCAATATGTTTATCCAATAAATATGAAGAGAAGGCCAGTAGCTGTGACCATATACTGGTCGCATGATAATGTCTACAACATGATGCTATGTGTATGATATCAAAATTCTTTGCATGTTTTATGACAAGATCTGTTTGCAATGTACACTGATTGGAATACCAAATGTGGTCCGAAATAATTGACTCAAGAAGGCACATGCCATGCCCACTTTAGTAATCACATTCTTTAGTCTTGTGTAAACTATTCTGCTAGGAATATTTTATTTACACTTGAGTCACAAGTTTTCGTTTTGACTGCATATTAAACAGAATGACTGGGTAATAGTTTTGAAGAGGAATAAATATTTGAATTATTTATATTTCTTCTAAAAATTTTTTTGATTTTATTATGGAATATGGTCTGGCAATGAGCTCATAGATTACTTTAGCAATTTGCGTTGCCTTAGGCCACCCGCATCACCAGAGAAGTTACAAGTGCGTTGCCGGATTTTGAGATTAGGAGATAGAAGCGCGTGGTTTTCTCCTTGGTAGCGGTATTACGCATAGCTCTCCCATGTAAAACTAATATAATGTAAGAAAGTAACAAGAGTTCAAATGTTTATCATTATCATGAATAATAAAAGTAGTCAACAAAAGTGACTAAGCAGGTTTTGTTGTCTTTACATTTTATTAAATACTAACATCTAGTATAGTAATTTGATAAAGACAAATCCGAATCAATATTAGCCCAAGTGTGGATTAGGTATTGTTAAAATGTGAAGCTGATATTAGTCATATCTTGAGAATTTTTGATGGTGTCTGCCATGTTGACAACTATTAACTCAGAGCAGATACATCTGTGTTTGGCAATGGTGAATCATTGTTTATAATAATGATTCATTGCCGCACATTGTTCCTTATTGATATTTAAATATTCTTGTGAGCTATTATCGATTTAATTGTCATAATTATGTTCTCATTTGCTATGGTAATGTCTTTTAAATACAATTTAATTTTACAGTTTATTTTTTAGCAAAGTGAGTGTAGTGTAGTGTAAAATAATGATTTTCGCATTTTCGGTAAAATTTAAATCATGCATGCAAACAATAATAGGCTCAATTCTCATTACTATGTTATTAATTTAATGACAGATCTTTTCAGGGTTATTTTATAAAAACAATAATTGTGAACACTGTTTGCAGGGCCACAGAAGCCGGTGATTTCAATGTAGTATCTCAATTACTAGCGTGTGGTTACCGCAACCGCGATGCTAAGAACCAAGATGGCCAGACAGCCGTACATATCGCAGCAAGGTCTGGCAGAGACAGTATACTTGCCAAGCTCATTGAGAGTGGAGCCACTGTTAATGTTAGAGACTCCTTTGGATATACACCTTTACATGTAAGTAATAGTATTTTAAGTTATAAAGACGACTCGTCTAAATCTTAAATACATGTAAAAATATTATATATAGCTTTTTTTGGGGAGGGAAAATCATTAATGATTTTCTCTAGCCTAGGGTATGACGAAAGGGAGTTACAGACTTACTGACTGAAAACCTCCCTGTTCCTTCTCCTACTCTGGCTGGTGTGCAACTTATGTATACTTAAAGTAAGGATGCAAGTTCAGAGTTCTATTCTCCACAGAACCATACACACAGACCAGACTATCTCAATGTAATTACAATATACCTATTTGTATATTTCTTTTTTCACAGTATACATGCCAGAATAACTTGCCAAGTACCACGGAGCTGTTGATAACTAAGGGTAACGCTAACTACCAGATGAGACACGCGCCTACAGGCAAGGTGCCTCTACACGACGCGGCGCAGAGAGGGCACATTGAATGCATCAAAGTACGTTAGTCTAGTATTTACTACCATAAGTAAACAATGGAATTGATTGTCTTGAATATAATCTATAAAAAATTGATCGTAAAATGTGTTGGTAAATGCATAACTCGACAACGCCTGGATCAATTTGGCTACTTAATTTTTGTTATGTTTGTTATTGCCAGGAGAAGGTTCTTATGAAAGATAATGTTTAGCGAAAAGGTAGAGCGAAAATTGCAATTGAGACCTTATGGTGGATAAACTCTTCATATTTACAATATAAATGTCTGAATATTTCACAATTCTTTATTGAGGTTTAAGCAATTTTCGATTATGTAGTTTACTTAAGGTAAGTACATAATATACCTCTTGCCCTAATTAATTCGAAAAGGGCGACTTATACTATGTTAAGTATAGGTTTAACATATCAAATACTATTAGATTTGCTAATATGTAATTGAAACAAAGAAAACAACACGGAAGACGCACGTACAACTGTCATGGTCGTCCAAAGTACCTACAGCTGTTTGTGCAGCTTGCATGCAAATTAACTTTCTGCCTAAGATTCATGCGCATGTACATAACGTCTACACGCGAAAATGATTGTAGGCCAAATAAGATTTCTTATGAAACAAATATAACAGAGGGTCACAGCTTTTTTGTGAAGCATAGATTTTTTATGGGACAGGTCGGCAATCGAGCTGTAGTATTACCTGATGGTAAGCAATCGGCGATGCCAATGAACACCCGCAACACCAAAGAAGATCCAAGTGCGTTGCCGGCATTTTAGGTGTAAGAGTTACGAATTTAAGGATTGGGAAGGGATGAGGGGATGGGTAGGAATTGGGTCTCCGATAACCTCATTCATACGGCGAAATACAACGGTATGGTTGTTTCACGCCAGTTTTACGGACGCCGTGGTATCACTCCGGTCGAGCCAACCCATTCGTGCAGAAGTTTGGCTCTACCACACTTAAAATTTAAAATATCTTTACAGCCATCTATTGTGATTTAATTATATAATAATACCATCGATCACTAATAAAGAACTAGATACACAATCCCATACAAAAGTTCGCTTCAAAACTGTCGCCAACTGTATTTAGGTACTTATACTTGAAATAAACATGCATTAATGTAAATTAAACCTTAAGTGCAACTCATAGAGTTGTTTTCACAAAGTGATATACAAAATCTAAACATTTTTTGCATAAATCATAAGAAATTGAACCATATTCGCATGTTTTAAAGTCGAATTTACAATGTGTCAAAAATGAGCAATAAAATTTAACGACTTCAGCTCACCGCTAGGACAAAGAATGATTGGAGTCGAAATGTCTCGTAAGAAATATATTTTTGTAAATTTTTTTTTTTTGATAATTTATAAAAAATAATACGAAAATTAAAACGCATTACTTATAGTATTCTTTTCTATAGGTTTGTTCATTTATTTACCAATGAAACTAATGCATATAGTTATAATTTTTTTACTATTTTCGTCCTTCTTAATCCTTCCTAAATTTGAAAAATTTTTCAAAGTATATATGTATACTTTGAAAAATATTCCAAATTCGAAGTCAAATAAAAAAGATGTAAAATAATAAAAAGAATATATATCTAAAGTAAGTACTGAAAATGTTGGCGTTAATGTTGTCAATTTTTCATATCGCACGGGATTTTGATGAAAGCTAAAAAAAATGTCTTTACTGCAGTTAAAATTAAATCCATTATATCTGCCTATTCCATATTTTAATAAACACAGTAAAGAAGTATAATATTAAATAAAAACTATTTTTTAATAAAAAAAAACAATAAATAAAATTAGAAACAATAGCGTCTCCGCTAAACGGAACAGAATCAATCCACGTAAACCGAACAACTTAAGTGGTCATGCTAGAGAATGATTTTACGTTTAGTATAAGTGCCTTTATAAACTGTGTGCATTATAACCCCGGTTTTTGAATACGATTTCATTTGGAAAAAATTTTAAAGTTGATTTCTTAATAAAATATCAATATTTAAAATAGAATAATGACAATTACATAATGATAATATTATTACTTAACGAAAATATGAAATTCCATCCTTTTTTGCGTCTTCGTTGTGTGTTTTTTGCAGTTTTTAAACGAGCACTGAGGCGTGTTTACCGTCGGAGCATTCGAGTGGTACTAAACTAAAACTACACCGCGATGTTGAGTTTGGTGGACTTTCAGTTAGGACATTTTTTTGTCACTGATTGTGTATCTAGTTCTTTATTAGCGATCGATGAATAATACCCATGTAATCATTTATAGGTTCTTCTGAAGCTCAAAGCCCCAGCGCACGCGAGGACTCTGGCACACGACACACCAGCTGACCTAGCCAAACATTACGGACATACGGAATGTTATCAGTTACTGAGTAAGTATACATACTTATTTCAAGTGCTTTATAAAATCCTTCAAGTTTAGCATCAACAGAGAATAAAACTAGTAGGAATGCGAGCTATTTTCTATTAGTATTTTATGTAAATGTTTACAGAAAACCACCAACCTGAGGTGCCAAAAACATCGAAAAAGTTGTGGTACCACGGCACCCTGAATAGAGAGGAAGCTGTGAAGACATTGGAGGAGTACTGCAAGCATCACAAGGTTGAAGGCAAGGCTTCTGATGGCGTCTTCCTCGTGCGATACAGCGAGAGGCATACTGGAGCCTACGTGCTCACGATGCTTAGCGAAAATACACCATATAACTTTATCATTAGGAAAGAAGTAAGTTTTATTATCCTACATAGTTATAATGTTACTGTAAAAAGTGTTAACATTTTATCAAATAAATTCTCTTCAGTCCATTATTTTTGTTATGTATTTTTAGAAGTTTACTGTGGTTTCACTTTGTTTAAAACGATTTTTCCTTTTAATTTCAGGCAAACTGGTTGTTTATTGATGACGGACCTTACTTAGAATCTCTTGAGCGACTGATTGAGCATTACAGTACGGTGCCAGACGGTCTGCCTACTCGCCTTACCACCGCCGTGCCGCCCAAACCTAAACCGCCTCTACCTGAAGTAAGAATGCTTACCAGAGCATAAATAATGTATTAGATAAGTCTTATTGTTCTAAGTATTAATTACAAAATCATCACCCACAGTTCTCTACGATGCCACGGACGAAAAAGCTAGCATCGAGTCGGGCCGCCATGTCTAACCAGTCGCTCTCTTTAGTGAAGCACGACATACTGAGCGACAAGCAAATGTCGGCACAAACGTCCCCGCCCACCTCCATACAGTCCAACAACAACATGTTCGAACTACTCACCAGGAACTTGTCGTTCTCGTCGGACTTCAACAACGATAGTATTAACAACAACGAAGATCCTTTAGACGACAATGACACTTATAAAGTGCCTGCCAACAACAGCGCCGTTGTTACTTTAGCTGAAAATTACAATGAAATATCTATTAACTCTGATGGCCAGCTTTCCACACTGCAAGGTCAGTTTTCACATATTTTTTGCAACAATTTTGTAACAAATAAGTTTCACTATTACTTATATTTTTGTATGTTTAAAACTTAAACTTATTTATAACTAGCTACTCTCGCACGGTTTCACCAGCTGCTCAGCTTCTACAGATGTAGCGTGATGTTTTATATCAAAACGAATTGTTCAATTCGAACCAGTCGTTCCTGAGTTTAGCACATTTAATCAAACAAACAAACTTTTCAGCTTTATACTATTAGTATAGATATTCATTGCTTATAACACAAAATTTCTCAAAAAAGTAATTTTAATTTGTTAGAATTTATCCCAATGAGCGAGCTGACACTGGGCGCGGTGCTTGGTGAGGGCGAGTTTGGTTCAGTACTGCGAGCGACGTACAGCCCGGCGGACCAGCCGGCACAGCCCGTGGCAGTGAAGACTTTGCACATGCAACATACTGATACCAACAAGAAGGAGTTCCTCTCTGAAGCCAAAGTCATGATGTCCGTGCGACACCGCTGCATTGTCAGACTCATTGGGGTCTCCTTGGTAAGTAGCTAAGCCTATTGTTGCTTACCTCACTCTCTCAGTGAACGATCTACTCAAAAAGTAAGATGAAGTAGCTATAATATATGACTGCACAAATGATCCACATATTGGTTGTTTCGGGTCTGGGCTGGGTGATATGTGTAAGTGAATTTGTATGTTTGTAAACGCATGCACAACACAGGAGAATCTCGTATAGTGTGATAAAAATTGTTGTTGTTGCGGTTTGTTGATTGATTGCCAAATATACAGAAGTAGCATTTGAATATAACAAACATTGTACTATGTGTTAAACCAAAATTCATATAAATGCAAGTATCGAAAATTTCATTGTGTTGCTACTTCTTACCTTATGTTCAAAGTTACACTGGTGGTGCCAGACGGTCTGTCTACCCTGGTTGCTAATATTTGGCGAGCTTGCAAGGTACAGAGGTTGTCTTGCTTAAATATTTTGTGTTCCTTTGTAGGGTCCACCGTTAGCCATGGTACAAGAGTTAGTACCTTTAGGTTCTTTACTCGAGTACCTCGTACGACACCCAGACAAAGCGTCGCCAGGATATGAACTGCGACTGTGGGCGTGTCAAGTGGCGGCCGGTATGCGGTACTTGGAGAGACGGCGCTTTGTACACCGTGACTTAGCTGCGAGGAACATTCTGCTGGCTAGCAGGTAATTGACTAATGCTTTATTTTCATTATCTTAATCCCATTCTAATCAATCCATTCCAAAAAATGAAATATTAATTGCTTCCCAAACCATACAGGATAATTAAGGGATAATGTGCTTAAAACAAGCATTTATAATTTAAATTTATAAGCATTTAGGATTTGTTCTAAAATCGACGTAAATCATTTTGTTTTTCCAGACATCAAGCTAAAATAAGTGACTTTGGGCTATCAAGAGCTCTGTCGACTGATAGTTCGTATTACAAGGCGAGTCGCGGCGGCAAATGGCCCATCAAGTGGTACGCGCCGGAGTCGTACAACTACGGCACGTTCAGCCACGCCAGCGACGTCTGGAGCTACGGCATCACGCTCTGGGAGATGTTCTCCTACGGGAAGCAGCCTTACGGGGATATGAGGGGCATTGAGGTACGTCATTATTCGATTTGTGGTAACGTTATATTTTACCATACTTACCTACATACTTTTGAATCCGATGCTATAAATAATATTATTATATTATGTGCAATTCCGAAATCGAACTTTATCAATATGAAAAATTTGTAGTTATTCTCACGAAATAATATTTTGACAGGCTATACAAATAGTGGAAAGTGGAAAACGTTTGGAAAGGCCAAAGGACTGTCCTGATGAAATATACCAAGTGATGCTTGACTGCTGGGCGTATAACCCAGACGTGAGGCCTAGCTTCAGTCAACTAGTCGACGTGTTCTCACAGCATCCTGACTACGTCAACATTAGCCAACTAGCGCTGGAGAACGAAGACGCTAATGTTTAAGAAAGAAGCACTCTAATTAAATGTATTTAATTTATGTTAATGTTAGGGTACAGACTGACATTTTGAGCTACTTCAAACTGCAAACTGCATTAACTAAGACACAGTAGAAAATAGTGGCACATCACATTTTTATAGATGTATACCCGAAAATTATAAAGTGCCATCTGGTACTATTCTCACCAGGAATAGTACCAGGCAGCACGTCGGCCAAGGATGGTCTACACTCGACCTTTTACTAGTATCTCTTATATGGATATGAGGTCTATCTATACGTCTTTTTAAGGGTGGCTCCTTCCAATTACAGCCCTCTTTATTCCTTTTGTTTTCCTACCCATTCCTCTTAATACGGAACCAATTAAAAATATTGTCTTTCTAAATTTTTGTAGCTGTAGCCATTTTATGCTTTAAGGTTTCATTTTCTTCCGACTTCCTTTTCACTCCTGCTGACATTCATAGATTTTCGATATTACAAGCAATTAAGGTTGAAAATCAATTGCATAATTTAATTATGACAGGATGAAGTAGCTTAATGTTCACGTGTCTGCAGTCTGTACGTAGGTTTACTAGGTATTTTTTTAATTTTAGGTAAATGTTAGAGAATTCTATGAAGTTCTTGGTAAAAAAACTACAGTTTCTCACTTGTTTTGTCTATTTATAATTTATAGGACCGTCACAGTGTTTTAAACAGTATATTTATAATTTGAAATAGGATTGCAGTAGATATATGGGACTTATTGCAAATTATCTTTAATATTTTGACCACGACTGAGACCTCGCGATAATGCCCGTATATGTATGTACAGAATCTTGACAAGTATGTCTATAATACCTCTCTACTCGTGTTGTCTCTACACTAAATGCACAAATAACATGACGCGAACAACGAAATAATATTAATTTGAAATATTCGTGATAATCTGTAATGACATGCCATGATGTGCCTGATTTACATAGTATTTTATATCTAGCCGTAAGACTATGTAAATAGGATATAGATACATATACATATTTTGAACATGTTTTAATAATAAATAATCTAGTATATATTAATACAATATTAGTAATGTCATATCATATTGGGATAGCATTTTTAGGATAAATTCTATTAATTTCTAAGTTAGTTTTGTTTTTATATTTGCTAACCATTTCCAGTTCATGTTCCTTTTATAGCCAAAATAGATGTATTATAATACTTTGATATTATGCTAATGCTATTTATATGAACTGTACATTCCATTTTCTTACAGAAAAAAACCTTTTTTATTTATAAAGAAATGTCATATTTTTTACGAAGATGTTGCTGCAAGCATTTTTATCTCATCTATTTGACTTTGTTTTCCGTTTATTTTTTATTCAATAATGACAATTCGGGCGCCTGGTATAGTTCAATGTATGTATCTCGTATAATTTTACCAATGTTTGCGATTTATTTGCCATCTAAATGCCATAGTTTAAAACTACAAAATTGCCACTAGGTTGTGTTATGTAATGTACAAAATTCTATAGAGTTACCCAAATTATATCTATTTTAATTTTTAGAGAATTTATATTAAATTCTATGAGTCTGACTTAGCATATTATTGTATTAACTTTTTATATTATGACAGATCATATAATTATGTTAATGAATCAAATGTGATAATGGTATTTATAAAATAAATAACGATTTTATAAAGTAAGTCTTGTTGTTTTGTACATTAATTTAGCCTTATCTCTATATTATTACAACTTAAACAATTGTTTTACTAACTAAAAGTCATTACGTCACATTTTCCCAAGAGGCACACTTGTCGAGGTGCAGTAAGTAGGAATTGGTGTTATCTTATCATAAACGTCATGACAAGCTTCCACTAACAAAGAATTAATTCGAAAAATATCACATGAGAGAAATTAACCGCTAATTATGCAGCCACTTGTAGCTCAAATATTAATGCGGCAGTCATGATATGGCGGCGGCGGCGTCTCGCTGCGATCTGGAATTCGTATCGCATCTATTTGTAATGTAGCTTCAGTGACGCCAGGTAGACCGTATGTTGGGAACGGCGCGCTTCTATCAGGCAAGGAGAGCTGTCTCCGGAATGAGGGCGGAGTCTCCAAGTCTGGGTTCACAATAGTAGTCCACAGTAAATTAGTTCTCATGTCCCCATCAAATCTCTGCATTCTACGCCTTCTTTGTCTCCTCGTCTGTGGCCGAGTGCACCGTAATGCTCCACATGTACAGAACTTATTCAACCAGACGTATGTTCCCACTATTCCAATCGCTAAGCCTATTTCAATACCAAGAATGAAAGCTTTGATTGCCGAAAAGTCTTGGTCAAATTTCTGAAATGGCGTAACTGGTTTATTGATCTCATCCACAGCAGAATCATTTCTCTCTGTCGTTATGTTCCAAATATCACTAACGTCGACTTCTTTTTTCTCAACAGCTGGTACTATCGATATCATCTTCTCGGACATCTGTGGTTCCCTTTTCTTGCACTGTTTATGATAAATGATGCCTCGGGATGATATCCAATTTTCCACTTCTACGAAATCTGGATTGCATTGCCAGTGATCATTGCGAAGTTCTATCCTCTCTAACTTACGTAAAGGTGTGAGAACCTCTGTTTTTAAAGTTGTTATATAATTTTCGCTTAAATCTAGTCTTCTCAAATTTGGCAGACGGTTGAACATTCGCTGCGGTAAGGTCCTAATGCGGCAATTATTAAGATTTAATACCTGGAAATGAAGCAATGTAGAGGGTAAAAAAAGTATACCTATTATAGCTTCTACCTATCGGTGGAAGAACTAAAGAATAAGTGAACTGTTACCTTTAGCTTCGAATGCATCAAAAATGGTTCATTCTTAAGACTTTCAAACATGTTTGATGACAAGTCCAAGGTGTCCAATTCCGGCGTCTCGAAGAATAGGTCGGAAGGAATGTACCTTAGTCTGTTGCTGCTTAGATCTAGATGTATTAATTTATCCAATCCCGAAAAAGCATGGAGACCAATCCAAAAAATCATGTTATTCGAGAGATCTAGCATTTGAAGCGATGTGTAGCCCATATCCTGAAAAAGTAAAAACAAAGGAGATGATAATAAATAAAGTATGAAAGGTAGTTAACAATAAGTAAATTGCAATAATTACAGATAGTGATAAATTGTTAGGTGCTTTCATAAGTGCAACAAAGTAGACAACGACGTTACGATTCGTTGATTGTTGTTGAATGCCCTCAAGATATCATGAACATCACTATTCCAACTAATATCAAGATAGACAAAGCAATAACATATGACTAACATTCTTGAAGTTCTACGGTAGGTACCTACAGTTTGCAGTGCGTGCACTTCTACTTGCTCTTTCACTAATTTAAGAGCGTGATACTATGTTATTGTTAATAGCTCAATAAATCCTCCCCCAAGAAATCCTTTTGTTATCACGTAAAGTTAAAATGTATTTGTTAAGCAAATATTGACAGGTTTCTACGCGTTCAAAGATAACTTTTATTAAATCGGTCCATACGGGATTCGAGTCAGCGACACATGCATCAGCTGTTTACCCAGCCATTAGCACTTCGTATTATACATTTTTTAAACCAATAAGTTGAAATTCTAATGGAAGTTGTATTGACTTTTAACTTGGTTTTAATTGCACATTTGCGAGAAGGTACGCTTTTAGAATTTTTATTACCACTTAACACTGTTTCACATGCACTTATTGCAGAATAGTGAATAAGTCAATATCTGAACATTTCTTTATCTAAGTATCTATCTATATGTAAATATATATTTACAATAACAATGAAATATAAATACAAATTCGATCGATAGCTTACCTTAAAACAATAGTTATCCAATTCACTAATAACATTATGACTTAGACTGTACACTTGCACTGCTTTGGGCACTCCCATGTAGATGGTGATAATGTTTTGATCGACACACATCGCCCTGTTTAATCCATTGTCCATATCACAGTCACATTGTTTCGGACACGATTCCCCACCAACCCGCGCACTAGTAAATAAGACTACTACTAAAATGTATTTCAACTCCATTTTTTAATGGATCATGAGGACTTCTCATTATTGAACTAATATTTTTTTAATAATTCAATGCAGTAAAGTCGCTTCCGTTCGTTTTCACATGAAAATGTGGAGCAATGAAACACGATTTGATAAAACAATCACTATCAGTGAAGATAAGATAATGGCGGTGCTACGTAGAACATTATCTTTCACTACATAAACACCGTAGTTCTTACAACATGTCTAGTATCAATGCACTTTCCAGGTATAAGGAAAAATAAAAATTCTAATCTATTCATTATTATTTTTAATTAATCCTATTCATTGAACACAGTACCTGCTTAATTAACATTCAATACAAAGGTTACCTTAAATAAATATCGATACATTATACTTACACTAAGAGATTATAGGCAAATTAAGTGTTATCCGATAACAACACTACAGTAGAAATGAAGGTGGTGGTTGGTTGAACCATTTGTGTGGAAGTATTTTTAACTGAATATATTATTTTGTCTTTGTTGTGTAGCAGGGTAGCACCGCTTCATGGTATAATCTATTCCTAGTAGAGCATTCCTGATATCGTTCACCGATACGTTAATGCTTTCAAAAGTTCCGGCCACCCTGTCCACTGCAAGGGCCTGTAAAATAAAGTGGCAATGATTTTTTATTCATTAAATGCCGATCTTCGTATTTCGATTTCGATTTGTGGTTGTTAAAATGGTCGTTTCGACCGGGTCCCTTTTTTGTGAGGGGATAATCATCAAATGACAGATCCCGAACAGGGTCGGGTGCAGGAGGAAGTGTCAGACTCTTATTGACTAAAAACACCCCCGTTTCTTCTCCTGCTCTGGGCCGAAGCCACGGCGCCTCATTGCGTTTGCCTCGCAACCCTGACTGAACATCAGCCCTATAGGGCCCCGTCTTTGGTCTATTTGCTCATTGAGGCACGTGCAGAACACTACGCGCAGTAAGCTCGGAACGATCAGTCCCATGAAGGGAAAGAATGTACCTAATTATGCATCATTTTATTAACATGGACTATGACTAACCTGTTCATGTGATGCGTCTGCTATTTGTTCCAAGGCTTTTGAGCTGATGAGAGTAGCTTCTGACAGTTGTGTCATGGCAGCTGTTTGTTCATCCATCACATCAATCTACAATATTAATAATAATTGCGTAGCAATCTGACCTTCTCTGCATCACCCAAAGGTCAGACTGGTAGAGAATGCTCAAAGCATCAAGTCCACCTTATGTACAATATCTTGTGCATGAAGCTTATAATAAATAAATAAATATGATAGCCAAAGTAGATAAAGGAAGCGCAAATAGTGAGAACACAATGGGCGTCTATCTCGCCTGGTGGTACGCGAAGAAGTGGCCTTCTCCGAAAACCTTACTCACACGGCAAAACACAGCGTTGTTTGTGCCAGTTTTCTGTGAGGCTGTGACAGTGGTATCACTCAATTTAAATCAAGCAATTGGTACTAAAGCATGGCTCTCCTATTTAAAGTAAGGAAAATAATTTTATAGTTACTGACCAATTGGTCAATCATTTTGATTTGTCGTTGTTCTGCTGCCGTCAAATTAGGTCCACAGTCCCCGTCTTTTGAGGCGTCATCTAATGCATTCGCACTATTACCAAGAACTGTTCCAACATTGCTGCGAAATTTCCCTGAAAAAAATATGTAAGTAAGTATGATCAATTATAATGACTCGCAATCAATACCAATATTATATTGATAGATAGCTACAATGTTTCTGCTTCGTTTCGCTTCAAAGCGTGCTGGTTTTTAAATAATGGAATACATTACATTTATACGCGTAGGTAGGATACGGTAGGTAAGGTAGGGTAGGTAGAATAGGGTAGTAGTAGATACTTAGTGTAAGTAGGTAAATAGGTTGGGTAGTTTAGGTAGTCAAATGACGGGAGCGAAGCCGCGGTTTAGAGCTAGTCTTCTATCTTCTTATATATAAAAATGGATCGCAAAATGTGTTGGTAAGCACATAACTCAATAACGCCTGGACCAATTTGGCCAATTCTTTTTTTAAGATGTTCGTTGAAGTCCAAGGATGTGTCTTACGCAATAAAACTTTGCAAAAATAAAGGAGAATAGCGGGAATCATCAACCCTTTCGGTGCCGTAGCAGTGCACTTGCAAAACAAATGACTGACACCGAGGTAGTAGGATATCCGTGCGAAGCAGGGGCGGTCTGCTTCTATATATATAAATGGATCGCAAAATGTGTTGGTAAGCGCATAACTCAAGAACGCCGGGACCAATCTTGCCGATTCCTTTTTTATTATGTTCGTTATTGTTCGGAGAAGGTTCTTACGACAGAAAACTTTATGAACGTAAAGGGGAATATCGGGAATTAACAACCCTTTCGGTGCTGTGGCCGTACACTTGCAAAACAAATGACTGACACCGGGGTAGTTGGATACCCGTGCGAAGTAGGGGCAGTCCGCTAGTTAAGAATAAAAATAAAGTTTTTTAATATAAAGTACTTACTAGTTGGTGCAAATTTATAACCACATAATACTAAAATCTTCCGTTGTAGTGGATTGAGCTGACTTTTTATTTTACCTTGCTCAATTTGTTTTTGTTTTACGATTAAACTTCGCCGTTTGTCTGCCCAAAACTAAAAACCAAGGAAATATTTAATTTACCAATTTTATGTTTAATTTAAAGACCTATTAATAAGTAGCTGATTGTTTGGAAGTACCTGTCTAGTTTTTATTATAATACTTAGCTGTTTATTACCTTGATCCAAGAAGGTCGTGTTTTTTTAGGGCCATTAACAGAGTTAGCTAATTTTGCGAGTTTAGTCCACAACTTCTTATATTTGGTTTGACTCTTGAGACCTACATTTTTCCTCCTAGAAGCCAAGTCTGGATGCTCTTCCATAAATGATATTATTTCCAACAGCTGGGCTAGTGTTGGCCTAGAAGCCTAAATAAAGATACTTCCTTATTATATTATTCAAATTGTAATTAAGATTGGTATTAAGAATCTGAGACGTTACCTACATTTAATAAAGATATATATTTAATATTTCAATGGTTAAGCTAAATTAGAAGTAAATAAGAGAATTGTATATTATTTAAGAATGGCACTATGGTTTTGTGTAGCTTTAAAATAATAATTATGATGTTTTTACATACTCGGCCTTCTCGAACAGGGCTCTCCTCATGGTCATCATCTTCAGTTATATCAGACATATTTGATGACATACTTTTTAATAAAATAAGTGTAGATAATAAATTATGTACTCCTAAAATTCATTCAGTTTAAATTATTTTGTCAAATTCATCATCCATCATAATTTTGGTAGATAAATAATAAATTGACCAACTCCAGAACATAGGCTGTTACATTGTCTCATTCATTTATAATTTATGAAGCTGAAAATGCAAAGTATTTGAGTAAGAAATAAGAACATTTTATATTACCTATTAGTTTTTATAAAAAGATAAGTTTAAATGAGAGGAGAGATTGCGTAAATGCAAAAACAGGAAGTATCCAACCACTCGTAGTACTGACCAAAGCGAAAACTAAAACGTTCCATATTATATGATAATATTTTGTGGCTGAATGAATACCTAATACTGAAATAGGAATTACTCTATTTAATCAAGTTAGGAACTTAACTGATTGGGGGAGTAAACGAGAACAATACCAATAATTCGAGTCGTATTGGGTAAACATTAAAGCAAATTACAAAGATTTATATTATCAACCATACAGGATAATCGTGGCAAAGAATTTTAGTAAACTTAATAAAGATTATTTTCTCGTACTATTTCAATTAAAATGACAATAAGATCATTCAAATTGAAGGAATCATATAAATATTATATGCCATACCTTAATTAATATTGTGCATTAATCTACCGGTCATAATAAATATTGATAGACTATCGTATTTTTTTATAAAAAAGTACACAATCAAATCAAAACAAGCGCAAAGACAAAGTTCTGTCGTACTTTCTGTCATCATCTGACATCTGTCCAAACATTTAGGAATTGAATCAGTAATGAAAATCTCTAATGGTAAAAACAACTTGGTACTTACTAAAATTAGACTTTGGGTTGATCAATGGCACGTTTAATAATTCCATGGGAACATCAAATGTAATTTTTAGCCATTAATAAATGATTCTGACCTAATTCTTAAGTTTTTTGAGGGCATTTGTTCGAATTCGTTTCGTTATTCGTAATTTATTACGAAAGGGAACTAAAAATAACTGACGAATTGAAGTCAAGAATAAACTGAAAACCTTAAAAAAGCTTTTACGATTGTTTCTAAAAAACCGATATCTTCTATTTTTTTCTAAAATGTTTTCACGAGTAAAATGGGAACAGAATTTGCCAACAATGTAGTAGTAATTTTACAAATCATTATGATCTGTCTGGCAACACTTGAAATGTTTGCTGTCAAAGTAGCAATAATACTCTTTACTCATTGCGTATGAAGAAAACCAATAAAACTTGAAGGTATTTCACAGATTCAGTGTCATTTCATGCAGAGTGTACTAATTTAATATATTTTTATTATGCACTTATTAATTCATGAAATATTAAATGATTAGTGAGTTCTTATAAGGTAAGCGTGATTGATTATTAAACAACTATGTGTTCAGCTGATTGTTGTTTACAAAATACTTTTAGATATTATCATTGAGAGTCTTGTTTTCATTTTTAGCAATGTATTCGTTCGAGGGAGACTTCAGGCGCAAGCCACAGCAGAACTTGGCTGGTGCAAGTGCACAGCGCAAGACAGACAGAGACACCTTGATACTCCAGTCACAACAACAAAGGCAGAAAAGAGAGGTTACTTTTCTATAACAACATTTAAGATTACTTTCACTTTAAGTGCCTTAAGCACTAAATATATAGCATATTTAGTGCACAAAGCCAAATTACATAATATTATAGCTAAGTTTTGTTCAACCCATAATTAAATCTTCTTGAGAATCAATTATTTCCATATTGTTATATTACTATATTTCAGAAATACATACATTGTCCAATTTGCTCTCATATATATATATTTTTAGGAGGTTTTCTCCTCATTACTTATTTGTAAAAGTGAATCATGTCACTGAATAGTAAAATGGTTAAATCATTAAATAATCAGTACAATGACTTTGCAGTTTTGTCAGTTAGCTAGTTACACCACAAATTGTAATATATTGTTTGCTTAACTGCTATACAAATAAACACAATATTGCTATCAAGATTTTTAAAAGTTGATTGTATAATAATGTTATCTGTAGACATGTCATGATGTGTTCACATATTTACTAAAGGTTTTTTATTATGTTTCCAGGAACATAGAAAGCGTTTGAATAGTACAATAAAAATCCAGGCTTACGTAAGGAGTTATTTAACTAGAAAACATTATAAGCAATATGAAAGGGACCAATTTGACAGCATATTTCCGAGGATAAATCCTGATGACCAGCAGATGATGTGTGCGCTAGTTGCTAAAATATTATTCTTCTATGATGAACAACAGGATTATTCTAGACTGGTATGTTGTGATTCATTATAGATGGTAAAAGAACATATTATTTTTTCTACCCATTCAAACAAGACAATAGCAAATGAGCATTACAATAATTTCCTGTAAATAAACCCTGGTAATAGAATAACATTTTTCTCAATCATCGTCTTATCTAGAACTGGGTTTTCAACTTCCTCAGTGTAAAACAAATTATTTATAATTTTTATATATTATAATGGTAATAAATAATCAAAATCACTCGATAATTTATTTTTCAAATGAATTTTTAAGTATGTAATAAGCTTGCAATATTAAAATATATAAATACCAAATATGTAAAGCACTCACCTATACAAAATTAATTGTGTTTTTCTGATATTTAAAACAAGTATGTTCATATTAGTTCATTTTGGTATTTTCTTGATACAAACACGAAAAAACTCTTTCAATAAATAAGTAAAAGATTTGTGATTTTATTATTATTTTTAGGTTGCTGTGTCACAATTACTTCTAAAGCAATGGAAAAAGGTATACCAAATTTGTGGTGCCTGTGTACAGATAAGAAGACTACTAGTGTTGCACCTGCATTTGTTGAAAGAAAATAGTGAGGTGGGTACAATAAAATGCAAAATAATTTTATCAGCATAAAAATATTTTTTTTAACTATGGAAATATAAATTGTTATTGTAATATGTAAATATAAATACCAATATAATGTGTTGAATATCCTATAGGTACCCCTAGCTGTACCACTTAGAATGTTTGAAGTGTTCACATCTACGAATTCAGCTGAAACATCCATCAATTGTGATGAAGCACTCAGTATTGTTGGGAATACGTTTTTATATCTTGTTAAAAGAGGTACGGAGTTTCAGTTTTTAATACAATATAGTTTATATAACTGCAGCTAATTAACAGTTTTTCTAACAAACTAAATTACGAAACACATCAGTAAACTCAATAAAGATGACATATTTATTTTACTAGCTACTGTCCCGCGGTTTCACCCTTTGCTCGGCTCCTACGTAGCGTCATGTTTTATAGCCTAGCCTTGCTTGATAAATAGACTAACAAACACAAAAAGAATTAGTTCAATTCAAACCAGCTGTTCCAGAGATTAGCATGTTAAAAAAAACTTTTCTACAGCTCTTATAATATTAGTATAGAAAAGTTATTTCAAATATATAAAGAGTCTATGACATCAACTCAATATATTTTTATGACTTATTTCCACATTTGACAGGTTATTTTCAAGATTTGTGTAAGCTATTGTGTCAGAAGACTCCGCCACTGTACGGACCTTCGCCGAATCCACCAACACCACTCAGTGGAGCCCTACTAGATCTCATACAACGACCTTTGACACTAATATCACGTGTTAATATTCCACATTATGAGTAAGTATTTAAATGAAAGTGTCATTACAATATTAGTTAGTTAATTAAGATTTTGATTGATATTGTTTGTTTTTGTTATTACCAGTGACAGCATCATGACAGAGTTCGCGTCCGCTTTCCTCTGCAATCCATACCCTGAGCCGGTAGAGATGTACGTTTTACCGGTGCTTGCGCAAGATCAAAACAAAAAGTTCCCATTCCTATCACTAATACGGGCCCTTCAAGAAGATTCTAAATTCTCCAGTCAAGTACTACACAACAATTCGTGGCTTTTACATTCTGTGTTGACATTAGAACCACCTGATTTTGGTAAGATTTTTATATAAACTCATTTATCAGTAGTAATTTACAACTTTATGGCTATTTACATAAGGTTTAATTTTCAATGTCATTTATTTTAGGATTTCCATAGTTCTAATCTAGATATATTTGTTTCAGTGAATGTTGTGCGTAATCTGGACAACACAAGACTGCCGAACAATCCTATTGTTTTAGATTATTTTAAAATTATTGCTAAGTTAACTGTTAATGTTTGTAATAAGCAAATCTCTTACGAGTTTGAAGACTCGTTGTACAGTCAGGAGACTGTGGCTGAAAAGGATGATGACAGTGATAGTGAGCAGGAACCGAACCCCACCTCAGTCAGGGAACAAATGTTGCTGACGCGGTGCATTGAGCTGCTGAACGAGCCCGAGCGGTGCATCATGACCACATGCTCACAAATTACGGAGGCTGATCTCAGTGAGGACTTCTTGGACAGTTTGTCTGAGATTTGTCACAATTTGTTGTTAAGCCACAAAATGGCGCTGCATAAGTACAGGTTTGTAGATTTTAATTATCCTACTAAATTTATGAATGGATGGATGTTTGTTTGTGACTCTTTCATGTTACATCTACTGAACGGATCCGAATATAATTGGGTACAGAGATAGATTTAAAGTCTGAAATAACATCTGACTACTTTTTATTTTGAAAGACAATAATAATAATTTCGATTTATATATTTTTGGCGTTATGTAATAAGCTTTATATTTAGTACTGCGGACGAAGCCAATAATAATAATTCCGATTTGTATATTGTTACTGTAAAAATAACAGTACGATAAAAAAGCGAAATAGAATTGTTGTTAAGATTTAAATAATGTTTGTGTTGCAGGCTACTGTACACATTAGCGTTCAAGCCGATGTTTCTGCGGGGTCTATGGGTGTGGGTGTCGGGTATGTCGCAGACGTCGCAGTACGGCGCGCCGGCGACGCCGTTGCTGGGCGCCCTCTGCCGCGGCCTCGCGCACGACGCGCGCGCCCTCTCCCTCCACCGTCTACTGCCACCACTCGCCGTCTTCTGCGCACTCTTCTCCCTGCTCATCGGCACCCTGCACGACACCGAGTTCTGCAGGGATCCCGACGAGGACAAGAAGATCTCTAGTGAGTTTCATTTTACTTAGGTCTTTTAAGAGAAATTGTCTAGTGCGGATTTGTTTTACGTTAAAGCCATCGAGACGATCATGTCAGATTGGCTGTTTGGCGCTCTGATTTGCCAGCTCAAAGTTTACCGACCAATCAGAGGGCTGATTGATAGGTAAACTTGGAGGTGGCGAATGGCGTTCCAATTGCGTTAACGTAAAAATTAGTCAACTTAGAGTTGGTTGAGATCTTTATTTTAAGAATAATCGGTCACTAAGGCTCAGGTCGGAGTTTATTGAGTCCGTTACTTAAACGTATATATTATATTTTCCCGCTTAGGTTGTCATAAATAAAATTTGTGTACAGTGGGCGTGGCGGTACCGAGTACGGATGTAGGGCGGGGCGGGCGCGTGCACGCGTTCGAGTTCCATGAGCTGGGCGCGCTCTGCCGCACCTTGCGCGCCGTCTGCCTGGGGCTGGTCGAGCTCGCATACCCTGAGTCCCGTCCCACCGTTGCAGGACCTTACAGGGACGCCGTCAACAACGACCACATACACATCTCCGGGAAGAATCAAACTCCCGCCTGGTCACATCTCTTCAAGGTACGCTCTATCTAGTATGTAGGGTTAATTACTATTGTCATCACTTATATTGTTTCTAAACGTAATACAGTAAAACTTGACATTTGATTTATGAACGGATAGATCTAGAGATAAGCCAATAACTTCTGATATAGGTACGAGAGTTACTTGAAAATGGATGACTTTGATGTTTTGTGCTAAATGAAATCTAAGAAAGGGTTGATTAGTGATTTGTCTGCAATAAACGGATGCTTGTCTCTCTTTTACCTTGCACCGCACGTAGTGTAATATAGAATGTAGTACAAGAAAGAGAGTTCTGCAGGTGTGCACGGCCCTGCTGCGTGCACTGTACGCGCGGGACGGTCGGCTGGGGTTCCTGGGGGGCGCGGCGTGGCCCGCGGCCGGCGCCGTGCCCGACGGCGGCGCCGCCGTACTGCTGGCCGCCGGCGCCCACCACATGCGCCGCCCCCGCAGTCTCGCCGCACCACGCGCCCTTACTACCGGTACGTACGAATGGCTCGGCTCGACCGAAGTAACACCAGCCTCACAGAAACACGGCGTGAAAAAATCATAGCGTTGTGTTTCGCCGTGTGAGTGAGGTTACCGGAGGCCTAATCCTTTCCTAATCCTTAAATATCCGAAGCCCTAACCCTCCAAAGGGCGGCAACACACTCATAACTCCTTTGGTTTTGCGGATGTCCATGGTTGCTTCCGATCCGTCTACTCGTTCGACGATCTATCTCATAAAAAACTACAACTCAATATCAATAAAACATTTCTTTTCACCTTTATAGATAGAATAGAACGGCAAACGAGCAGACGAATTACCTGGTGGTAAGCAATCCGCATCGCCATACTACACTATACATATCAAATTTTTTGTATACCCAATCTCTAGAATGGTTTTATTGGTAAGATTATGTTTCCTAAAGATGGGTTAAATAACTTGTTTTAGATAATTATTCCAGATGATTATGGTAAACTATACAACAAATAAAAGTAAGTTGAGTAATTCCACTAACATAAAATATTTAGTGGTCCCTATCTACACAGTAATCTGACGTTCAGGAAGTTGGTCAAAAAACTCTTCTACTTTTTATGTGTCTATTAAATATTTTAGCTGTTTTGATAACTATTTGTGCATCTTCCTACAGACGAGGGTCCACCTCTAACTATCAAGGAGTTGCGGACCGTCACTATACTGAAGGAGATACCCTTCGTCGTACCATTCTCTACGCGCGTCCTCATCTTCCAAGGTCTTTTGGCGAGGTAACGTACCAATATCGTATAATATGTATTGTTTTTTTTCTGCTTAACGTATTAGTCAGACTTAGAGTCATTAAATGAGTTCTGTTGTAGCATTTATTGCAAGAAGAAATAAAACAACTTTTTATATAGTTTTGTTAACGGGTTAAAAGATATCTTATGGTCTATTAAAAAAAAATCGTTGCTTCATTGTTTATTGATGGTTATCTAACGAATTTGCAATTTGCCATGAATTTTCGTCAAATAGCATGCTTATTTTTTCCAACCTAATTTTAATGAATAAAAGTATAAATACTCTTTAATAGTCTAATGTATTATACCCATTGTCAAAACAATTTATTTTTGTCTAAGACCATTCTTTTGATATGTTTAACCTTTTTAGAGAGAAGCACGACCATTGGTACGAAATGACGAACTTCAACGAGGGTCCTTCAATAAACATCAGTGTGCGACGGACGCATTTATACGAAGATGCATTTGACAAACTTAGTCCAGATAATGGTAATTATGTTTCACATTTATATGAGTACGCTTGATTTTATCTTTACAAAATAACTTAATTTTTGTCGAGATTTGGAAACAAAATGTAAAATATAAATTCTAAGGACCATAAATTTATTAAAATTATATTCTACCTACATTTTTATATAACGGTGAAACGTGATGAATATAATTCGAGGAGAGAAAAGATACAAAAAAAGGGTGAATGAATGTTGGCAATTTATTTTTAGTATCTATTCACCCCTCTTCTGTGTCTATTCCCCCCTCGAATTGTATTTAACCACCGTTATATAAAAATGTAGATGGAAAATACTTTTAATAAATTTTTGGCCCTTTGAACATCGTTTGTGATTGGCAATTGCATGCAAGGATATGAAAAATTTACTAATTCAATCCGAAACATTAAACATGTTATGTATTTTTCCGTAGAACCTGATTTAAAGCTGAAACTTCGCGTGCAGCTGATCAACCAGGCTGGTGCTGAAGAAGCCGGTGTCGACGGTGGCGGACTCTTCCGAGAGTTTCTTTCCGAGCTTTTAAAGTAAGAGACTTATCATTGTTATTACGTGCCTTGATTTGAAAGCTGAGATATGTTGGTATTTTGACAGATATTGCATATGATGGTCGTATGAAAACTCAATTTCTTAGCTGAGCATATCATGTCAGTTCATCATCACTTCGGTATTTGGTTCTTTTATTTATGGAATAAGTCGGCAAATTCCCTGATGGTAAGCAATCGTCGCCACCCACGGATACCCGCATCACAAAAGGAGTTGCATCGCCTGCCTTTTGGGGATAAGGGTTTCTGGTATTCAAGTATTGGAAAGAGATGGAGTAAGGGGAAGTATTGGGCCTCCGGTAACCTCACCCACACAGTGAAACAACGCTGTGGTTGTTTTACGCCGGTTTTCTGTAGGCTGTGGTATGACTCCGGTCGAGACCACTCCTTCGTTCCGAAGCTTGGCTCTTCCACAATTAATTTTGCATGTGTTTCTATTTCAGATCTGCCTTTGATCCGAATAGAGGTCTTTTCCGTCTGACGATAGACAACATGTTGTACCCGAACCCAGCTGTACACCTGCTGTACGACGATTTCCCCATGCACTACTACTTTGTTGGCAGAATGTTAGGAAAGGTAATTATGGGATTATTATTTACGTTTCAGTTTACGAGAAAGTAAGAGCTTTCTTAGATTGACTTCGAGCCGCACAGCAAACTGACGTAAATTAACGCTTGCTTTGTGTTTCGTCGTCTGTGCTCAACAACGGCTAACCCCTATTCTGAAAACCCTAACAATTCTCAAAAGAATACTAACGTATTTGTATCTTCATTTTGAGATGCGAAAATCCATTAAGTGATCCGAATTATTTTTACTGACCTAGATAATTGATCGGTTAAAGTTTTTTTTAATTGTAAGTTATAATAATCTTGATAAACACATATTAAAATCATTGAAAATAACGTCTTAATCCTGTAATTAAACTTACGTCACAGAATAAAGTCAATTGGGTATTAAAGAAAAAATGTCGACGTTTTAATGCAATACAATAAGACGCTTCACTTTTATTAATCGATCTGTCGATACACTAAAGGAGACGGGGACTTCTGGGCCCTCACGTAATAAGTTGAAGTAGGGCTTAAAAATTGGTTATTTTTTTCTATTTCACATAGTGAAAAATCAATTCATTTTACAATCTGGGAAAAGAAAAATTTAACAACTTAGTTAGGGTTACGAAGTAATTGGAATATCGATTCAATTGTAATTAATAATCGTTACAGAGTTCATACTATTTACGAAAATGCTGTTACTGGATAATTTATTTAATTAATATAATTAAATCAGTTAAAATCACAGTATTAAGAGTTTAAACTGACTAAATATCTACATAATTAAAAAGATTGTCGATTCGTATTTACTAATCGATTATTGTATTTTTAATCTGTGCGAACTCTGACATGTATGATATGATAGTCTATGTGTGCGTTCTGAGTGTTTTTATTTTCCTCCCATTTTTTTATTGATATTTTCCTCGACCCGGCTTTCCCACGGACCTCTGATTTTCCTCCTTCTACGACCATTGCTTTGCTACCATACCGGACACGGAGAACCTCGCTTAAACGTTGAACTTGGACTTGTTATTTTGGATTCGACGAACGGCCTACCGATAGGATATTGATCGACATTATGGATTGTATTGTAAATTGTGGCATAGCGACTAGTCGCTGTAATAAATACATTAGGACGTCGAGCTTTGGATGACGATGCTGCTAAGTAAACTAAAAAGACGTAGGTAAACAAGAAGTAAGCTATGCTGTGCAGTCGAAGGATGCATCTGGTTTATATTTATTATTTGTTTATTTACAAACATAAATACATACAAATATACACAAGAGTACTATTAAAACCATTACCCTCCTTCGGCAATCGGCAAAAAAATCACAATCGCACTTCAAAAATTGGCGATTATATATAGATTGTTACGTAACCTCACTTTTCTTAAATCTTTTATATCTCGATTCCCAGATTGCCAAAATCTGCAAAATTTCAGTAATTGTTTGTTGATATAGTTGCTATCAAATGACGCCAGTTTCATCTTTTAATACTTAGGCCCAAAATTTTATGAAAGCGTATCCGAAAAAAGTAAGCTATTTGATGCAAAAATACTATTAAGTCATAACTCAGCGTTTTATACAAACTTCATAGAAAAGTGTAGTTTTTGGCAATTGTAGTTATTGAATTTGACTAGTCGGAAACTAACGTACTGTCAGTATTTTGGGTTAGATTATATTTGAGGAAACGGGAGGGTGACTAGAGAGCTATGTGTGTGTGTGCAGGCGATGTACGAGAACCTGCTGGTGGAGCTGCCGCTGGCGGAGTTCTTCCTGGGCAAGCTGTGCGGCGCGGGCGAGGCCGACGTGCACGCGCTGGCCTCGCTCGACCCCGCGCTGCATCGCGGCCTGCTGCTGCTGCGCGCGCATGCCCGTCGCGACGTGCCCGACCTCGGACTCGACTTCACGCTGCTCACCGACGAGCTGGGCGAGCAGAGGGTACGATAGATCCACTCTACTAAATTAATACATCATTCCCCCTAATGCCGGATCATTTTGCGCAATGCGCTTGTTTTGCGCATTTTTTTGCGCAAGTTACAACACGTTTGTTTCTGTTGATTCCAAAGTCAAAAAATGACAAAAAATATTTGTTTCAATTAAACCTATACAGGTACTTTTGAACGCCAAACAACGTTTTAAAGATATAAAGTCTCAGTCTGTCGGTCAGTCCTCTTAGTAAAGCTCGTTCCATAATGTAGATTCCAGTGAAGAAGAACGATCAAGAAACTTCATAGTTACTCTTTTTTAATCAGTTTCACATAAAGATTATTTAATACATTATTTAGATTGTTTAATTAGTCTACAAATTACACTCGGATTCTTTTGCGCAATCCGCTTTTTTTATTTCAATACACAAAATACATTACTACAATATACATAATATATTGTAAAAAAACTATTTAAACATGGATCGTATCGTGACATAATAAGTGCACACAGAGAAACAAAAAGTTTACATAAAATATGTCTCTGGTTTACAAAAACTATAATATGATTTAGAATATACGCGCTTGTTTGCGCAAGATATTTTTGCGCAGGTTACAAGACGTTTATTCCTATCGAGTTTTTAAGTTTGATTCTATATGATTACTATGTTTAAATTATCAATAATTGTAGGTCGGTCAATACTGTTTTAGATTTTATTTATAATATTTATACTGTTTAGATTTTATTTGTAACATTTATCATTACAGATAGAGGAATTAAAACCGGGTGGCGCAAATATTCCCGTTACAGCTGAAAATAGGATAGAATACATTCATCTAGTCGCCGATTATAAATTGAACAAGTAAGTTAACATACGCTTGAAGGAGGACTATTTGCTATAGCCTTTTCCCGCCTTAGTTACGACAAGTGAGAATGCAACTAGCACTGACTAAAAACCATCCTAATGAATTTATTGAAAATATGTATTTAATAACGTGCAATTACTGAGAAAAGCTCTACTTAGTTTCACAAGTCGCAACGGGACTCTTATTTATGCACAAGCTTCTGTCGCGCAGATTCACTCGCAGCTCGGCTCCTATAAATCGTAGCGTGATGTTTTACATCCTAAAGCCTTCCTCGATAAATGCACTAACAAACACATAATTATTCAATTCGAATCAGTAGTTCTGAAGATTAGCGCGTCCAAACAAACAGTCTCCAGCTTTATAATTTTAGTATGAGCAGCGTGCGCGTCGCTGCGGCGACTAGTAGAGCTTTTTTCAATTATTTCAAGTGAGTTAGTCGTTGTTTTCAATAAATTTAGTATGTCTTACTATTGTTACTATTTAAAGAAAACTATCCTGTTGAGTCAAAGCTGCATTGAGCACTAGTAGATGTATAAATGATGTTTATTTGAGTATATGTATGTGTGGTGGTGTCGTAGACAGATAAGGTCGCAGTGCACGGCGTTCAAGCGCGGGCTGGTGTCGGTGGTGAGCGCCGAGTGGCTGCGCATGTTCTCCTGCAGGGAGCTACAGCTGCTCATCTCGGGCGCTGAGGTACCCATCGACATCGACGACCTGCGCAGGCATACTCACTACGCAGGTACCCTCACGATTAAAATTATAACATCATTATTCTATTGCAGTTAATATGTTTAGTGTATTTTAGATCTCAATATTGTCCAATATGGTAGTTTCTTAGGTCAAAAATAAATTAATTCGAAGTGAAACATCAAATCGTATAATACAATAAAATATTTAAAAAATAACTATACCTTTATTCATTGATCTGTCGATACACTAAATTTTTGTTATTTTTTAGCTAATCTTAAAAAAATAAGTAAGCTATTTGACGCATAAATACTATGACGTCATAATTTGGAGAAAAATACAATATTCATTGTTGAAAAGTATCGTTTTAGCCATTTGCATAAAAGTATTGTTTTAGTGATATACTAACATTTAATCGATTCTACACCTTTACACTTTTTGACTGCCAAGGTCGGTTATAGACTATAAACGAAAAATAGGCTAATTCGCCAATGTCGACCATATCCGACCAGAAAACGTCATAAATAAGTATAGTTGTAAGTCTGGAAGACCATGCCTTCATGCATAAATGGGTCGGACTGACTGGAGTGATACTATGGCCTCACAGAAAACCGGCGTGAAACAACCATAGCGTTGTTTTTGCCTTATATCAATCTTCCCCTCACCCAATCCCTCCTTAATCCCTAAACTCCAAAAAGTCGGCAACGCACTCGTAACTCTTTCGTTGTGTGTTATACACACAACGAGAAATATTTTTCGCAGTGTGAGTGCAGCATCCCTTCCCAATCCTTAAATATCTGAAAAAGCCGGTAATACACTCGGAACTCCTTTAGTGTTGCGTGTGTCCATGGGCGGCGCTGATGGCTTACCATCAGGTAATTCGTCAGCCCTCGTGCCGTCCTATCACATAAAAAACTTGGTTTGACATAGTTAAAAAGAGGCAATGATGAGTTCCTAACCCGTGTGTATTGTCGCAGGCGGGTTTTCAGCGCAGCACCCGACGGTGCAATGTTTCTGGCGCGTGTTGGCCACGTTCTCGGACGACCAGCGCCGCCAACTGCTCAAGTTCGTCACAAGCTGCTCCCGACCACCGCTACTCGGGTTCAAGGTTACATTCTCCAACTTTTTTGTTATTTATTTCTCTCTGTCAAATATTTTAACTTATTCTAAAATGCTAAGCTCGACTCGCACGCGAGACTTCAATACAGTAACGCAATATCTCGTGCGCTGTCTTGTAATTACACTTGTAAACCAGGAAACGTAGTGCGTGTGAGTGAGACGCGCCACGTAGTATTTGCGACACATAAATAGTGTAAGTGAATTTTACATTTTATTCAACTTATTTATCCATTTCGTAAATAAAAGCTCGTAATTGACTTAACATTATTTATTTACTGCTGCTACATTATTTATTATCTGCTGCTGCTACATTTTTCTAGCACAAATAAAAAAAATACATAGTAATAAAACTAATTCAAAGAATACTTTTGCACTATTTAAAGATTTTCTCATTATATCATATGTGCATTTAACACCCGGTTTCCGAAAGACTAATCAATGTTAAAATCAATTTAATCTCTTGTCAAGTCACCTGATTGGTTGACGGAATTATCAACAACCAATCAGATGACTTGACAAGAGATATAACAGGAGATTAGTTAATTTTAGCGTTGACAAGCCTTTCAGAAACCGGGTAAAATCTGCCAGTGTGACAATGTACACATATTTTTGTATTATTGTAATTTTTATTTTAGTCTTACCAACATATAGCCACCCCGTTTCTTCACCAAGCAGGAGCCACGGTACCTTATTGCGCTTTTCCCTTAACCCTGCAACTCTGGCGGAACATGCATAAGCACCGAACGTGCAGTAAATGACTTATATTATTAGTAACATTATGTTTATATTTGGTATACTAGGACTTGCAGCCACCATTCTGCATCCAGTCGGCGGGCGCGTCCGACCGGCTGCCGTCGTCGTCGACCTGCATGAACCTTCTGAAGCTGCCCGAGTTCCACACGGACGAACAGCTCACCGAAAAACTACTCTATGCCATACAGGCCGGCGCCGGATTCGAACTTAGCTAGAGTGAGTAGATAGATACGATATTAAAAAGAAATTTGATTCGTTCTCAAAATAGGAAATGTAACATTGTAAAATCATTTAGAAAATCTACAAGAATCAAGTACTAAAACATTCAAGTTGTTCGTAATACAATCAGCAAATGCAATAAAGTATTCAATTCTATTATATTCGACCAACAAAAGTAGCAATAAATTAATGTCGTTTTTTCAGGTACAATTAAAGAGACCATGTATTAAGTAGTTGTCTACTGAATAATTGGAGGTATGTCGCCACTTTTTCCGTTGTAGTGATTCACTCACCACGCAGGTCGCATTCCCTCACTACTGGAGGTCTGTAGTTGTGTAAATATGTTACCGTTTATTACTTTTCCCAGTTTAATGAGTTTATGAAACATATCTTACCTATGTACTGCAAATGTACTCAACTTGTCACATTAAATTATTTATTTATAAAAATTACTCATTACCTGTGCAATCTTATAATGTATTGGAGACGGGCGTGTTGTGGTTCAATAAATAAAATGTTAGTGGAATGTTGTTACATGTAAATAAAAAATAATATTGTGTCGAATTTATACACTAAAACTGTTTTAGATTAGGACGTGGGATTGTGTAAAAGAATATTTTATTTTATTGATATTTGTAAATGTCCGAATGTATGTACATGTGATGGGCGCAGGTCTCGTCTGTCGGTCACTGCGTGGTTGACCGGTGTTGTACAAAACTATTCAGTCGTGTCAAATTTGGGACTTTATATTTTAGTACCTATTGAATAAAGTTATCTGAGTCTTGATATAGTGTTTCTTTTCTACCAATATGCCTATTCCACTGAGAGACAACTTGGAGATTTTAAACTTCCTAAATGTCTACAATAGTCTTGGCGGAGCGGAGGTTAATGCGCTTAATTTTCATGTAAGACCTTCGAAACCTGGTAAGTACCAATGTGACTTTCGAAGTTAAGTATTTTCTGTGATTATTTAGATTAGATTATCGACATACGGTGAAGGAAAACATCGTAAAGGAACCTGGACTTATATTTCTAATTATAAGTTTGAAATCGACAATCCGCCTTGAGTGAGTGTAGTGATTAATGTTCAAACCGTTCTCCGTATGAGAAGAGGCCTTTGCTCAGCAGTAAGCACTTATAGGCTAGATCAGATCACAAACAATGAGTGTCGGAGATGTCACGTCTCAACATCAGCGTGTCACAGAGCGGTGCCAGTTAGCTGATAACGTCGACGAGTTCGTCACGTGCAGTATTAGCGCTGAGGTCGCGACCACCGGCCGAGCTCATACGTCACATCCCACGGACCCTTAATATCAATTTTACAACTCGCCGCTACCTATGGCTCACACAATACCTTGATTGACGCACGCCACTTTATTGATTGTCGTAATTTATATTACCGCAACATTGAATGCCACCTTTTAAACCTGCAAGATTGATGCCCGCTGTATACAAAATATTTTATTGAAGACTCCAATTCGTCTTGTACCGATCAACTTTATATGAAGCAGTATTATTTGTCGAAGATGTAAGGGGCGATACGAATTCAATTAAAGATTGATTGCCGCAATCTGTTTAAAATGACTGCTAACATCGCTTCTCAAAAGTACTCAAAACATGTTTCGACTTATAAATTAAAAAAATAAAGGAACGGAAATGCTACGTAAAGAAACCCTATACACAAAGCATTAGTCAGAGTCACATAGTTTCACTTTCTTTGAAAAACATTTAGGTCGCTGTAGAAATCGGCTGAATTCAAAAAGAGGTACCTTGTTTACAAAATTGTAGTTGTCAAGTTAACTGTCAAATAGAGAGCGAAGTATAACAACAGATTTTCCACTCGACCTAAAGGTTGACTTGTAGAGAATGCCATATGGCATTAAGTCCGCCTTTTGAACCAACTTCATTTCATTGTGTACAATAAAGCATAAATAAATAAATAAATATAACATTAGGATCACAACGATTTTTTGATTTCTGTTAATACCTTCCAAATTCAAAATTTACGAGTTGGGAAACTAATAGCACTTATTAATTATCGTGGGCGAGAGCCTTGAAGAGAGCTTCAGCAAATGGGCTAGCTCGACTGGATTGATACCACGGCTTCACAAGGTTCACGCTTCTGGTTTGGTTGTTTCGTCGTGTGAATGCCTAAGGTTATCTCAGACCCGATCCTATCCCCTATCAACCTTCCTAAATCCCTTAATCCTGAAATTCTAAACTGATCTCCAAAAGGCATTTGTACCTTCTCTGGTATAGTGAGTGTCGATGGTTAACTCTGATTGTTGACCATCAGGTTAATCGTGTTCTCGATTACTCATATCTCATAAAAGAGTATATAATCCACTAGTTATAAAGATTTTGTTGTTCCTTACGTACACAGGCTCAATTATTTGAGTCTAAACGCGTATCCATAGAATGTTTAATAAATTACACATCTAATAAGTAACCGTGAACTTGGCGGCGGCCCATCAATAACGCGCATTAATATTGGCTTAGGTGCATTCATCGGGACCAATATGGCCGTACTCGCCGCCATTACCGTTTTGACAGTTGCAATCAATCAGAGCTGATGAATGAGGTTCGCGAGAACCGTGTGCGGTAGCCGTATACACAAAAACTATAAACTACATTCATGTTTTGATTTCGAAACTGTATTTAGACATGCTATTTGGCCATATAAGTCTTTAGTATTTCCCCTTATAAGCGTTAACAATCTTGATCGAAAGCGTGGGTTGAGAGATAATCAGATAATAGTAGGAAAGTCGATATGTCAACAACCTTACTTTACAATTTAGTTTAGGTATGTCCTTACCTACCAGATTTAATTTCAATTTACCTACCAGTAAATACTTGTAGGTTCTATTCAGATTTTTATTGTACTAATGAGAAGCAACCTTTTCTCTATGTATTTAACCTTTCAATTATGTATTCTGCTTAAGGTGAATGTTATGGAAATAGTCACTTCTTACCAGTCCATGTGTTCACAAAATAGTTTCTGTTGAGTACCAGGAATGTGTACTTCGTAGAATTCGTAGCAGCCCTAATGTGTCTATGTCTGCATCAGTCTTTGTCATGCAGTTGTTGAAGATGAAGGATTGAGCTGACAGCCAGTGGCGTGAGTCACCTCGGGCCACCGCGCTCGGTTCATTCTCTGCCAATGAAAAGATTAAACGACTGTCCGTCAACCGACTCGTACCTAATGTGAATTAAATTACGCCCCATATATTACTCAATAGTCTGAATACTTTGTGCAACCACTTATGTAATCAAGTACCTACCTATGTATCGTATCATAATTATATATCTGTGTAAGTGTCTTCAGAAGAGGAACGTTAACATAAATTACTCAGTGCAGATAAGTACCAGCTTCACGCCAACACAAGAAATCGTCCGTTATGGAAAGCTCAACACAATGCGTTTTCAAAACTGGTGTTGTGGTTATAAGACGGTTAAGCGTTACATTGTTAGTGTTCGATGCACTCGGGATTAACCTCAACGACTTTCAAAGATGGATAGCCGTCATAAACGCTGTACAAGAGTGGCATTCGGCAGGCAGGTCACGCGTCTCTGTCCGTGCCGATTGTCGCGCAAATTCGACGGCCGCCCATTTAATTTGCAACACTGTTCACCAAACTGCAGCCATGGAAAGTTACGAAGTTATTTGGTAGCTGAATAAAAAGCAAAACATTTTTGACTTGCAAATTAATACAGTTTTAGTGTAAATGGTGTCGCTTTTGTTCCTTTGTTTTACTTTGTAGGAATGAAGTTTTATGTTACTAAGCTGAGCTTGTAAGTATTTAGGTACTTATGTAGGTACTACCTACTTCTAAGCATGGAATCTTCTAACTTCTTCTATTGTGGACTGCTTTTTTTTGTGAGGGGAAAATCATCAAATGACTTCTCCCGCCCAGGGACGGGCGGGAGGGAGTGTCAGACTCTTACTGACTAAAAACCCCCCTGTTCTTTCTCCTGCTCTGGGCCGAGGTCGCGGTGCCTCATTGCGCTTACCCCGCATCCCCGGCTGATTGTGGACTGCTAATATATGTAGACACATAAATGACTGACTGCACGGGTGACGTGGTGGCTGGGCTACCGGCTGCCATGTAACGTGTCGCGGGTTCGATTCCCGCACAGAAAATAACACTGTGCGATCCATGAATTGTCTTATCGGGTCTTGGCGGCTTGTTTACGGAAATTCGTATGTTAGATGCAAATGTAATACATATTAAATATGTATGTAATACATACATTTTTATCTTCTTGAAATACCTAATCATTTTGACGGTATACTATATTTTTAGCAAACATTGGAAAATCTGGAAACAAACAGTTATCACTTGTTATTTATAAGAAGAATGTCTTTTTTTCATACATAAGCACCTACGTTTGAAACGTTTGCTTATCGTCCCGTACGACATAAGTAGTACATAAATGATAATAAAACTGTTTGTTTCTTTTGACAATTAATGTTTTTCCAGTTATTATAAATGTGTATAAGTACCTAAAGCATAAAAATATTAAAGAGTGCATCACTCCATAGTATAAAATAAAGCCGCTAAAAAATACACTTATGGTATGCAACGCATTTTGATTCAGTTTTTAATATATAGGGTGATTGTGGAGGAATGTTTCTTTTTCTGTTCTGTGGTTTCTATGTATAATAGCATCAATTAAATAGTGGAGAAATTAAATTTAATGCGAAGCCGGGGGAGCCGCCTGTTTTGTATGTGACCTAAGCATGTTCAAGATGGAGGACAAGTGACGAGTTTGAGACTTCGCTCCGGACACATTTCACTGAATAGTTTTGCTGCAACGATGGGTAAAGTAGTGTCACCAAATTGTACGGAATGCAATATTATTGAAGACGTGTATCATATTATAGTGGAATGCGTCCGAAATGAACCAGATAGATGTCGAATTAAAAGGGAATTTAATATTGATTGTCGGGAATTTGGAATATGTAATTCAATCCTAGCTTTCCCAACATCTAAATCTGCTAGCTGCTAATTTACAAGCTAGTTGATTTAGGAACTAAGCGTAGATTGTAAGTTTTGCATACTGTCTTACTTTTCGTGTTCCTATGAGGGTGACATGTTCGTTAATATGAACAAGCCCTCAAAATCTAATAAAGAGAAAAAAAAGATGGAGGACATCTCTGTTTATCGTCTGCCAGCCTCATCTAAGTTATCAAATTAACATTTTTACCTACAAAAAAGTGACGTCAGTACCGCAGAAAATGTTTCAAGCAAATCCAGTAACAAACAATAGAAGAGATAACAAACAAAAGATGAGACAGCTTAATGCTATTGTAAATGTTGTTCAGTGAAATAATAGCGTCAAGTGTCGCACAAAAGGTGACAGAAGCACAATACAACTTGGGTGGTCGCGACTCTGCCAACTGATACACTTCTCGGAAGGTCAGGCTGAGTACCCCACAGTATCCCGAAGTCTACTTCGGCTGGCAACTCATAAACCTCTAGAGCCTATAATTACATATGCGGAACTGGACTACACACGAGAAAAGCTTTGCTGGCAACCCTAATGATTATTGGAATCGTTCGAGGAAATGTTTAGTTACCTAATCACTAAAATGTTTTTCAATTACATATTTAGTTTGTTGAAATAAGTATTAAAGCGGTACACAAATAACTTAATCTAGCCCTAGTGTTTTGAATTGCTTTGACCTAATACGATTAGTTTCTACGAGCATAATTTTCTATTACGTATAATTACATTGAAATATGTCCAAAATTAAATTCAGATTTCAATTAAAAATCTTTGTA